TGATTATATTTTGTAATTATACACAAAAAAGCTGCAGATAATTAATTCTATCTGTTTAACAAATATTTATCAAGTATTGAGCCCATACCGAAGATAATTGTGTGAAGAATGCACACCTAGGTTGTGTACTTATGGAGTTTACAATATAGTAGGAGAGACTACTACCTATAATATCTAGTAACATTATATTCATAATATACTGCTATATTAAGATAAATATTAATATATTTTATATATTTATAGTGTAGTAATTTATTTTTCTGAGATAAGTTAACAATCTAACTGAGGTTTGGTCTTCTGAAATAGAAGTACATCATATTTTGAGTTATGTCACTCAGGAAAGTGGGTGGGGACAATTGGTGACATTTATGCTGAAGTATGAAGTAGACATTAGTCAGGCAAGAACTGGTGGGTGGGGGAATAATTCCAGGCAGGAAGAACAGCAAATGAAAAGACATTAAGAAAAGAAAGAGCTTCTTAACCTTTTCTTAGATTAGAGAGTCTGATATCACTGTAATATTGTGGGAAAAAGAAAGGAACTGATGGGAGACTTGAACTGTCAGAGATAATTCACATAGGCATTGGTAGACCTGTGGGAAACCATTAAAGGGCTTTAAAACGTAACTCCTCAGAGTTTTGTTTATACATATGTTCTAGAAGCTGAATAGAAAATACTTTGGAGTATAAGTGGAGAAGCAAGTTTTAATATCATTGTAGTAATGACAATGAGAGAAAATTGTGACTTGGAATATGATATAACCACTGGAGATGAAAACATGAGGTATTCAAGATATATTCAGGAGTTTAAATTGATGTCTTGCTGTTTGTTGGAGATCCAGAAATGGACACACCAAATAGTGACTTTCTACCTTTTGGTTTGCACATAAAAATATTGTTTTTATCAAGAATATTTAAGGTAAAGGGGTTCTGTTTTGGATATATTCAGTTTAGATGCTGAGAATACATCCAAGCATTGATGTCAAGTGCTAAGTTGAACTTCTGTCTCTGTGTCTCCGCCTCGTGCTTCCATGCTGCCCCACTAAACTGCCTTAGTGAAGTTCCAGCCAAAGTCACTTCTAACTTATGGTAGAAAGATGCTGAAGTCATTGAAGGTGAGAAAAATGTTGTAATATATTAAAGAGCAGCACTAAGATGTAAAGAGAAGGCTTTGTTTTTCAGTTACCTTGGGTCGTAAGCATATAATTGAAAGCAAAATGAAGAGGAAGAAAGAATAAAAAATGGAACACTGAATGAGAATGTGGATTATCTCTAGTCATACTCTGTTTGTAATTTTAGGATGACTCATTTAGTGTTTACAAGTGGATTTGGAAAATATAAGTGATTGTGACTAATAAGGAAAGATACTACTAAAAAAATAACTCACTAGACCTTTTTGTTGACTTTAGTTATGGGGATATGTAAACTCCAGAAAACATCTCCTAACTCCCCTCCATTTTTTAAATAGTGTTTTTTTTTACATTTTTCTCTCTCCCTTTTCTTTTCTTTCATAACCCTTATTTGTCATTATTTCCTTACATCCCCTGCTTCGAAAAAACTGAAGATTTCAGTGGAAGTGAGGATTTTATAAGGGCTAGTAAGATTTTTTTTTTAAATAGGCTATTTTGATCTTACTAACTTTGGCTATTAAAATAATATCACTTTCATATATTTGGGCTATCAATTTTATCTTTATTTTGATAACGTATGATGAGAGGCCAAGTAGATGGTACACATGTAAAGAATAATATACCTTAATGCCTCCTACGTGTCTGAATTTTGCTCAAATTTAATATAAATAAGCAAATCATATAAAAGGAAGACTGAGTTGGAAAATTTGTCAAATGGAAAAACTAATGAGAGATGCTTTTATAGAGAAAAAATTATTATAGATTTCAATAGACTAGAAATCTCAAGGTATGTAGTTGTCACTGTCACTCAGAAAATAAATATGTAAATCAAGTTTTCGGTACTGCATTTAGCAGTACACTAACAGTATACTAGTACTAAATAGCATGTTAGCATTCTAGCATTTAGCAGTACACTAGTACTAAATATGTAAATATTATCTCCATAATTTTACAGGGGTTCTGTGCTATGTTAAATTGGTATAAATGCCATAACATGTTCTCTTATAGAGCTTAAAAATATGCATGAATACATGAACACATAAAGACCCTTGATAATTCTACAGCAAAGTGATCTGTGTAACGTATCCTGGCATCTTTAAAACTTACTGAGCCTTGACTGTTTTGTTCTTCTCAGCAGTGTCCTGTAAAATGTTTTCTACCAGAAACTGGTTTGGGTAAAAACTGTCCACAGCTACAGATTCTATGAGGTTTCTATTCATTCATATACTCTGTAAACTTCATAATTAAGAAGTTCTTCCTTATATCTAAACTATCTGACTGAAATATCAATCTTATTTTTCCCAAATTTTTCTCTAGTATCCAGAAGGACCTAAACATTTCCTCTCAGAATTACTCTTTGAACAACCAAAGAAAGATATTCTTCTCTGCTCTAAATATCCGTAATTACTTTGATCTTTTCAACCTGTCAAATTTCTGCTTAGTAAATTAGTCATAATTTTATATCCTATATATTTTATAGGATATAGAGTTTTCAATTTAGGACAAGTCATGTATTCTAAACTATCACTACATTCAGATTTTAGCCTCCAAAAATCAGAGAACTGAAAACTGAACCAATGTAAAAACATGATTTTGTACAAATTAAAAAATACATGAAAACATTAATGTAAAATTCCATTTGACTTTTCTCTACCTTATTTCATTGCAGTCTATTATCCATGTTGATTTCTCTGAGTTAAGAAAACTCATCCAATGAATACTTTTTGTTAATTGAGTAATGATAATGTAAAACTTCACAATGCACAGCAGATGGCATCTTTGCATATTAGTAATGAGTAGACAATTATTGAGTCAGATTTATTTTTGCAATAACTGATATAACCCTTTCCCCTCAAAGTTATGCCATCGACCCTTCGTGGAAAGAAACTCAGGTGGAAAATGTTCACCAATATAATCTAAATTGTATAAGGTTTTATAAAATAAATACCTGTATCCATTAGCCAGCTAAAATGTAATTGTCTATTTAATTTTAGTAATCACATTTACAAACAAAAATCTTTTCCTAGCTGCATGGTCTAGTGCAAGAAATATGTTATACCAATTTAGAATAGACCAACTTGGGTCTCTCCGGTGGCGCAGCAGTTGAGCTCTGGGTTGCGAAGCTGCCCACAGCCTCTGCAGCGCCAGTTCGATCCCTGGCGGCCAGAGAGGGTCCCACAGGGCGTGCAGACCTCTCCTGCCACCCGCTGCTCCTCTCAGCAGTGTACTTCATCAGTTTGCCTGCTTTGCTCTCCCCTCTGGCTCTGGTGAATTTTCTCACCCTCTCGTGTTTCTGACTGTACCCAATGCTTGTATAAATAAATAAATAAATCTTGAAAAAAAATTTAAAAAAATAAAATAGACCAACTTACCCATTCAAATTTAAATAATGCAATTAAATATGAAACCCTAAGATTAACTTTCAGTTGCTTAATTTCTATAAAAATTCTAAATCTTTGAGAAGAGATGAGGGTCTAAATAGTTTGGAGTTAGTCAGATTAATAGGTTTTATTTTGTTTGGTTGTTTACTTTTTAAAGTATAAGCATATACATAAGTCATCTATGATGTCATACTTCTTTTGCATTTTATAAAGTAACTATGAAAGTACTAGAATTTTCTGTTTTATGTAGATATGAATAGCAAGTTCTTTATAACATTGTAAACTTTGTCCAAATTTCAAATATTGTTATACTGAAATTACATTTAAGTTTCAGCTTTCCTAAATAACACAGGGAATTGAGGTATTTGTAAATGTAAAGGATGAAAATATATAGGCTGTTAGAAGAAGACTTTTATCTGAATTTTATACAAAATGGTTATAACTTTGTGAAAGTGCTATAGAATACTTTTAGGATGGTATAGATTAAAGATGTTGCCTATGTAGGGAAAATAATGAGAAAGAATGGTGATAAAAATCCCTGACTTTAAACAGACAAAATGCAGACCAAGATGATTCCATTCAAGACATTGACAAATGGCGACTAATTAAGTCATTAAAGAATATAAGAAAAAATAAACTATTTTAAGAAATCATCAAAAAATATGGGAGTTCTAGAAAAGGGAGGAAAAATTCAAAGTTTAGGAAAAGATCAACAGCTTAGATATTTGAAATATTCTTTTTGACACCAGAGGTGGTAATTGCATATATTCTACTTGATAATAATCATAAAAAATTCATATATTTTTACCATGGGCTACAGGATTAGATATATTAGTCATCATTGAAATAAGTATAAATGCCAGAAAAATTAATGAAGCAAACATTTTGGGTAAGAGACAGTAAAATATAACTTGAAATCATAATTGATTTTACCAGGCTCTTTTTATTAGGTCAGTTGATTAGTTCTTCCAGTCCCTTTCAATTTGAATTAAATAAATCAATTTGATTCATATTCTGAATTTAACACATTTTGAAGATAAATTGCAAATTGATTAGTTGAACCATTTAAAATTACCTCTATACTAGAGAGTGATATGGTGAAAGAATTTAGGTTATCTATAGTGATAGTACTTTGCATATGTTAGCAAATTACATTATAGCACTATTCTAGCAAAATATGAACAAAGACTAAAAAATTAGCTAACACAGTAGAAGAAATAGAGGTGAATAGAGACTAATGATTTACTGAAGACCACTGACGTTGCCATGATAGAATAGAAATGATGATTTTTTTTTCTCTTCCTATAAACAGTTTGTATAACATTTCTTGCAACAAAGTATGTGCATTTTCTGTCAATAAGATCATTCTTGTTTCCTGCTTTAAGCTGTAGAGCACTTTGAAATATGCCCATGTACATAATTAAAATAAGAGAAGGGGAGCATTTTGATAAAATATTTTATTATTATTATTAATAATAATATAATCAGGCTATAAAAATAGCAATTTTATTAACTACAGAAACTTTATATACAAGTCATAACCACAGTGTTCCCTCTTTGGGTAAGCATCCAGCTACAACACTCAATAGGCAGCTTTTTAATTTCCTATTTACACACAAGACAAATAGTCATAATATCCACAGTATTCCATTTTCAGTTTCCTAAAGACAGAAACTTTCTGTGCAAATGGAAATGAACCTACTTAAAATTACACTGTCAAGATTTATACAGTCCAGGGAATTTTAACTTTGTTTTGATAAATTGTAAGATCAAAATTCCATTGACTATTGAAAGATAAACCTTTTTTGGGACATTATTGTGAAAAGTAATTTATTCACACAGACCCTTTGTCCCTTTATTCAAATTAATTTCATTTTCAAATGACTTTATAAGTATGAGATATGATTGGTTGGAATCATTATTTCTTGAATTAAATAAATCAATTTAAAAATTTTAGTATCTGAATTTATTAAAATTATTCACATGATCTCTGTATTGCAAAAATATTATTTTATAAAAAAATGTTTAGAAACAACTAGAAAATGCCTTACAGCAGTTTCTCACTTCTTGACAGTGTTCTTTTCAAAAGAATGTTGTGGCTATAACATTCACTTTGTACAGTACCATTGGTACCAACAAGAAATATTCACAGGAATAAGTGAAATACAATTTTGCTATCACATGCCATTATTGTTATTTTTCTTGCCTTCCAGTGTCTCACACTTCCCATAGTTTGAAACACTTAGTTAGCAAGCAGGAGCCTGTTAATACTAGAAATTGACTCAATATAATCCATTTTACTGAGGACCTGCCCACAGCAAGTTGGTAAAAGTTATTACATATTTTACAATAAAATTAAAGAAGTATACAAAAGAGTTATCATCCCTTCTGCACAGCAGAGGCATTAAGACAAATATTTTAATTTTACATTTCTATTCATTGTAGACATAAGAAATGTCCATAATTATAGCAACATACAACCATTGTTAGAACAGCCAAAACAAAAAATAGTACTGAAACTTCTAATTTAAAAGATCCTTTTACCCAGAACTCAAAATAAAATGGATTTTTGGATACATTGGATTTGTGAGATTTTGTAGTTTATTAAGAAAAGAATGCCCAGAAAAATAGTGTCTTGCAACAGAGAAAAATGGCTGACATGATTATACCCTGCCCTAATATAACATGAATCTTGTTCATTTTGCTTTTGTTGTTTATTTTACTGATCTTCTAGCACAAAAGAAACCTCCCAAAGAGAGAGATGCTTTGTTCACCATGCTTGATGACCTACTGGTAGTCTTGTTTTTACCCTTTAATAAACTGGAAAACACTGAGTTCAAAGTGTCTAAAAAGTTAGCTGCAGTAGTATCTTGGTAATCTCTCTCTCTCATTCCATGAACACTTAGAGGAAAAGACATGAATGAAATATTTTAAAATGTAAACTACTTAAAACTATAACAATTTTATAACTGTTTTACAAATATCATTAATAGGTAACTTTTTAAAAGTTTGCCAGCTTGGCAAGAAGAAACTGAAAATTACTTTATAATTTTTGAGCAATATGTCTTTGAAATTTCTGTTTTTATTTAAGTGCTATATTGTACAAAGAAAAGGGAAATGCAATCTGATAAGATGATGTAGACTGGCCAATTGTTGAATCTTTTTCTCACTCTTTCTTGATACCAGCATTTTTGGATTTGCTTCCCTATACTCTTTGGACTAAATTCTCAAGTAAATTTTAAAACCATTTTACTCAACATGTGCAATGTCCTGTTGGGTTTTTAGAGCATTGTTTGGATCTTTAGCCTTAAGAGAAATCATTTGAGAGAGTCATTTAATGAAGTGGATACTAGATTCAAGTCTTCAAATAATTAATTTTAAAAATCATTTGTATGGGAAATTTCTATGAAAATTCAGATGCTAACTTTTTACTCTGTTATTCCACTTCTTGACAAACACATGATACTCAGTAACAACAAATACAATAATAAATATGGTGATTTGGCTATTACACAGAATACAAAATTTGAATTAATATATACCATGACATTAGGGAAGATGCATGTAAAATGAAGTAAATGAAATGAAGACATCTTGAGATCTTATTCACCAGATTTAATTTCCTTTTAAAGAAAAACTGGAAACAGTTCAGACAAGCTAGTTCCTTTCCTTTAACTTTTTCCCTCTACTTTAGTAGTTTTATTATGTTAAAAGACTTCAGAATTGAGAAAAGTATTTTGATTTTTTTTCTTCACTATATACTTTAATGCATAATTTGGTGAAGGGCTATTTACAAATCTTTGGAGACATGGAAATGTTCCTATTCAACAAATTTTTAAATTTGAAGAGGATGAGCTAGAAGCCAATCACAGCAGCAAGTCTTAGAAATAACCTACTAAAATACATTTTCAAGAAAAGATACATTTAACTCCTTCAGTTAAACAGTGAACTAAGAGTTTAAACAGTATTTTTAAAAATATATATAAAGAATCTTGCATAAATAAGTGGCCCTAAATTTGTAGAAAAGGAATAATACTAACACATACATTACCCTTTTCACTTTAAGAATTAGATTCTGCACAAAAAATTAGGATGATAAGTCTATGTACACACCTAGACCAGGGGTTATTTAACTTGTGGGTTATGTCCATACATGCCTTAAATGCCAATCAGTGTAGGTTATCTGCAGATTATGTACAAAAATAAGCCAGTCACTTGTATCTTGCACCTTTCCTTAATATTACTCCTGGTTTTCAGAAATTTATATCTTTTCTTTAGGAAAAGCTATAGGTACACAACATTCAAAATATTAGGGGTTACATTAGATACTACACAATTTGAATACTAGTGCATGGACATGTGTACCCAGGCATGAATATATGGGTACATGCTTTTGTAAAAAGTATGTGTACCATTATTATAAGATACATGGTTAGGAGAAATGAATTAAATATAACATGATGCATGAAAGTTAATATAATTTAATATAGAGTAACAATTTAAGAACAAAGGTATAAATTGTTTTGTGAGGTTAAAATAATGTTTAACTTATGATTTATTCATTATTAAGAAATTAACCTTGGAAAGCAGCATAGAGAGATTAATTGATGTGTTCCATTAATTCTTTTATCATCCAGCAATTATACCTTTGCATTCTTTTAATCCATTCAAGTATCTTCAGGAGATATGTTACTACACTTGCATGTACCTTAATTCACTTCAACATTTATAAAATAACACTGACAAACAAAACAACAGAAAACACTCATAAATATTAATGAGCATCTTTAACAAACATGACACTGAAGTAGTTGTCTTAGGATGGTTTTAAGTGACATTTTAATTCCATGTTCTCTGAAATCTTCTTGTAAAAGAGAGTTGTACTGATGAAAGCTTCAGGCACATATCATCAGTTATGACTGTTGTACCTTATATGTTAATATAATTTTGTGTATCCATTTTGCATAATAAGCTACTCGGACAAAAATACCAGGACGATTTGGAATGGCACATCCACGACCAGGAACAATGACACCAAGAACCATTCTCATTTTATGTTGTTCACAAATAAGTGGGCCACCATAATCCCCCTAAAAAGAAGACATGCAACAATAGAAACAACACAATATTATTTTAGAAATAATAAAAGAATAATTTACCAACACTTCCTAAATATATTTGTATCTCAAAAGTAACTACATTTAAAAAATGAGAATTACTACAATAAAAATATGAAGACTTAAAGATGTACTATAACACTGGGTAGACTTCTATTGAATATTCAACTGAGATAAATACAAAAGTTCAAACAAAATGTTCTATCATGCATAGTAATTAAAAAATAACTTTTTCCAAAACACACACTGAAAGCATTTATATTGAATGAAGACTAATTAACATATAACCACAGGTAGCGATTTAATAAGGTTGATTTTATATTTACTTTTGTCTTCTTCCAAAATATGTCCAATATGGGAAATTTGGAAAGTGTAGAATAATGTAAATACAAAAGAAACCCACTTGTAATTACACAATTTTAATTATTAAACTACACTAATTTTCTCTTATTTCTAAAGATTTTTGTTTCATTCTCCCAACCCTGTCCTCCAGAATGATCTTAACAAGTTAGGCAAAAGCTTGCAAGTTGATAAAATTTTTCTATTTACTATTTGAAAATTGCTTTCCCAGGCATAAAGAAGTTAACATAACCCTATTTATATTTGGACTAACATAAGTAGTAAATATAACCCTATTTATATTTTATACTTGTTAGTGGAAGATAACCTATAATTTCATGTTATTTCTTATAGAATAACTATTAAATCATCATCTATAGACAGATGATATGTAGGTAAAAAATTAATGCATTAATAGGTTGACTTGTGAGTGTATTTTCAGATATACACATGTACATATATGTGTATATATATTTACAAATATTATCATATATAATCATTACAACTGTGCTATATCAATTTCATGTACCATGTAGCCTCCTAAGATTGAGATGATTGATTTTGGCATCCTCGTAAAGAAGAGTGCTTAGGACTATCTTAATTTTCCACTAACAGTGATATAATGAGAGAAAATTAAATTATTGCAAAATTTGGTTCTGTCATGCAGGTGGAAAAAAAGAGACTTATCAAATTCTGTGCTGGGGCAAAGGCAGATGAAGTAAAATGTCAAACAGTAAGGAAAAAATAGTTTATTCTAAGAGACCTCATATTAACTGTACTATAAGAATTAATCTTACTATTAAATTAATGAACCAGTGATTACTGATATGAACTCTTCATAGTAATTTACTTTGGGAAACTCTCCCTAAATATGGTACAACTGATATTATACAAACATCTCGGAGATTTGTTTTGCAAGAGGTAATATTTAAGTGGTTAAATTGTTGCATTTTAAAAATCAGTAATATAAAAAATCATTTTGGAGGATGAATGAATTCTTTAGAAGTCCTGTCAATAGGTATTAAAAATAATAAGCATGTGATAATGTAATATACTTCATTGTTAAAGTTAAGAAACTAAAGACATATACATGAAGAACTCTAGTTCTTCAGGCTATTCCGGTAGAGCAGTTGTCAAAGCATTTTTAGTAATGACGGTAGCAATGGGATAAGTGTGTAGTTTCCTAAATAGTCTCTAAGACTGAATGTAGCTCAAAGTCTTGACTCTTCAGTGATCCTGGGTAAACTTAATCACAGAAAGCTTTTTTTGATGACCTTTTCTTCTCAGGGTTAGTGATAATGACCCATTGGTTTTGCCCTCCTTTCCTTTTCATGGTGGCTCTATTGATAATTCCAGAGTTTTCTGAAGAGGTTCTGAGATGAACACACTGGCCTGCAGTATCCCTTGCAGTGGTGTCGGGAAACTAACATGAGAGCTGGTCCAGAGTCTGTCTTACAGTCGTAAGGAGGAAACCAATGTAGAGGCTTCTTACCACTTGATTACAAGTTGCCATGACTTTTTCTTGCTTTTCTTCATCTCCTTAGATCTTCTTTCTGCTGTTTTTCATTATCTCTCTCATTTATTCGTCTTTGCTTCTTAGTTTCTTCCTTGTCTTCCTTTATTCTTTCATTCACTCTTTTTTTCTCAGAGAAAACATCTTCAGGATAAGGGAGTTAATCTGATATGCACATCCAATGTAATGCCAGCTACTTCTACCTATTCCATCTTGAGTTTTGTTTCAACCATTTTGGAGCGACTTAGATATTTATGTGACTCCCATTTGTCTTAGATTGCACAGTACAATTTAGATCTTCTGGTAAATATAAGGTATAAGGAACACCGACCAAGTGTTAATTGGTTAAATTTTAACAGTTAAGCAATTTTTGTACAATTTTCAAAGAAATCTTTTATAATCCACTTTTCTTCAGTAGAATGATATGAAATGTCCCCATTTTCATTTCTAAATTTAGTATGTAGTCTACTCTTTTTTTCTGTCTTCTTAGTCTGTCTGATTAAATGTTTGTCAGGATCACTGTTGGTTTCAATGAACCAACTTTTGATTTCATTAATTTTCTTTATTGTTTTTTCTAGTCTTTATCACCTATTATTTTCTAACCTTTATTATCTTCTTCCTTACTTGATTTTACTTAGTAATTGCTTTTCTATTTCCTTAAGTTGTAGATTAGGTTGTAGATTTGGTCTTTTTTTCTTTTGAGATCTCTGAGATCTTTCTTGTTTGTTAATTTAAGCTTTTATAGCTATAAATTTACCACATAGCACAATTTTTTGCAGGCTTCCCATAAGTTTTGGTAAGTTGTGTTTTCATTTTTATTCATCTGTCAGTATTTTCTAATTTCATTTGTAATGTCCTCATCGATCCATTGGCTAAGAAAATGTTGTTTAATTTCAATTAAATTGTAAATAGTTGTATTTCTGTAATTGACTTCTAACTTCCATTGTGGTAAGAAAAGTTACTATAAAAGTTACTATATTTTATATATTGACAGTTAAATTGTTTTCTAATATATGACCTATCCTCAAAAATGTCCCATACACACTTGAGTAAATTTTCTGTGGTGAATTTTCTGAATGTCTTGTATGGTGAGGTGTTTTAGTGTGTTACTTAAGATCTCTGTTCTTTTAGTCTATCCATTATTGAAAATAGGGTATTAGAATCTGTATTAGTGTAAAGCTATCTATCTTCTCAAGCCTGTCAATTTTTGCATCATGCATGTGCTGATTATGTGCATACATGCTTATAATTTGTTAGTCTTCTTGCTTTAAAAGCATAAAAAAAAAAACCTTGTCCTTACAGGACTTTTACTGAAATAAATAAATAAATAAATAAACTTTTCCCCTAGTACATTTTAACTTGTTAAATAAACACAGCACACTGATTTACTGGATAAACACCAAATTTGAAAATAGTTACAAACACATAATCTAGTTCTAAAACTCTAACTTAATAAACATTTTCTTTAATGTAAACCAATGTTACCTCATTAAAAAAAACTCAAAGAAACATTATATATATAAAATATAACATTATATATATATTAAATATAATATATATATATATATATATATATATATATATATATAACACATGCACTTCAAAACATATTTATGCTCCCTACTTAGGGCAGTTTCCTACATGTCAAAGGATATTTCAGTATTATTGAAATCATTCTATGCTGTGCTATACATAATATAATACACAGTATACACAGCTTTCATTCTTGCAAAGCATGTATCTTACATTCAAAGTACATCTAAAATAATAGTTTAACAGCTTGTCTATGTAAAATAGGGATAGGAACACTGCCAAGTTGAAAGAACAGTTGACTAACAAATGAAAATATCCAAACTATTGAAGCCACAAACTTTAACCTTTTGATTTTTTAAACCAGAATTTGTTTAAAAATACACACACACACATGCACACACAGGCTTAACCAAAAACACATTTGAATGTTTAAACCCAGGCATGTATGTTTTAATAATATTACTAATAGAGTCCATTTGGGAAGATAAGTTAAGAAAACATTACAAAAATGCAGGATAATATATCAAACTGCATATTATAAATTGCTACTTTGAATAGCTTTCCATTAGCATTCTGGTTGTATTTGTTAATTAATGAATTTATTTTGGGGGCAGAAACAAGTGTCATCATAATTTGCTGCTAATGAAAGATAGGGTTGTCCTACTGTTTAGTAGAAAAAATATATAAGGCTAATAATATATGGTTATCTTTCCTAATTCCATTTTCTTAGAATAGGTTGGTATACATGGTTTTTGGTTTGTGAGAAATAGAATAAAAACAAACAAGAGAAACTATGATGTCCAACACATATTCATTATTTTAAGACTCCCTTTTTACCTCACATGGTCCTGATACAATATTTTCAGCCCCAGCACATATTTCAGATTCAGTCAGAGTCACTTTCCCTTGATGATACTGGCTGCATTTTTCATTCCCCATTATATAGAGATGTGCTACTCGTAATAGACCATCAAAGTTGATCACTAAAATGGTGCAAAATAGTTACAGTTAATGAGCACAGGGCGAGGTGAGAAAATAAGTCACAAATACAGAATTGTTTTTATAAAATATGTTATTTAAAAATAGCTTACATCCAGTGTAGCCCCAGCCATATACACTGCAAGTGGTTTTTTCAGGAATTGTGCATCCATAATTTGGTAAATCAATTGTATTAACAAAATCATCAAGGACAGCAGGCCTGAAAAGAGAAAATATAATTTTATTGATAGATTCAACACAAAATTAACTCATTAATTGAAAGTTAATGTTTAATTATTATAGTTCTAGTCTTGTATCTTAAAGAAAAAGATGAAATGTCTAATATATACTGAAGAAATTTTGAGTAGTCAAAATATGATTATATGCTAACATTTATGAATAAAGGACCATTGATTTTTATAACATTATTGTATCTGTTAAATTTATCAAATAATGCTCACTAAGCTTTGGTTTTAAAATACTGATGATACAGCTTCATTTTTGAAAATGGATACATACATACATGACATGTGACATATATTTTAATAAATGTGTATGAGAAAGAAGGTAATTCTTCAACAGTTCTAGTCTAGGTTAAAAATTCAAAACTTTCTTAAGGAACTAACTTAGCAAGCTTCAGTAAAACCAGATCTGATCCTTCCGGTCCATATACCAGCTGGGAAATATTTAGAACTTGTTTGCGTTTCTCATCTCCTCTTCCATGGACATCATGAATTCCAAGCCAAGCTTCATAATCTTTTAAATCTTTGTTTCTAGGTAAAAATTTAAATGCAAAATATAATTTTAGATTGTGTAATATTATTCTTATACATGTTATTTTAGCTTATAAGCGTGGATATGTAACCTAAATTTAAATTTTAGTTTAAAGTATTACGAAGACTTTAGTGGAAAACTGTGGGTGCCTTATATATATATATATATTATATACATATAATATATATATATTCTCATATATATGAGAGATGTTGTAAACCAGTGTTATGTCAATTACAAATGTATAATAAAGAGTAATACATTTGGGGCCTCCCTGGTGGCGCAAGGGGTTAAGACGCAACCTATGAAGCTATCCACCACCACTGCAGCATGAGTTCGATCCCTGGCCAGGGAGCTACCCACATGGCGCAGGAGACCTCTCCTGACTCACCTGCTGCTACCCTCAGCACTGTATTTCAGCCGATCTGCCTGTTCTTTTCCCCACTCTGTCTGGCGAATCTCTCACCCCCCCACACCTCTTGCTTGTACCCCAGTTCTTGTATCCATAAATAAATAAATCTTAAAAAAAGAGTAATACATTTGTTATGAGATATTCTCAATATTACAAGAATATATAAGTAGGAAGAGCCCTTCAACTGCTGAAATTCTAAATGGCTATTTTTAAAAAATTGATTATGCTCCTTAAAGAGTAAGTCATTTGTGAAAAATTCTCAGGTAAAGCACATGACATGAATTATGATTTTTATGGCAAATTTTTCTTTCTATTTCATCTGTGCATTTTTGGTTTATTAATGGGGTTGAAAATTTATCCTAATAAAATCAAAAGTACCTTGGTGAGAATCAGGAATTATGCTTACAAACACTGCCTCTTAATATTTTTCTTAGGTTAATTGTCATTGAAAATTATTCCTAGGATGAATTTGAATCTGACTTCACATAAGAAAGGAGAAACGAAGATTGAGAAAAGTTTGTTGATAAGAAAGTAATTTTTATCTAAAAATAGAACATATAGTTGGATGTTGAGGTAAAAATTATTTACATAATTCTAACAAAAAATTCTCCCCAAATGAGAATAATGCTAGTTGTGAAAAGAGCATACAGAACCCAGTAAGTGAATAGCAACTAAAATAATGTAAGTCATAAACCAAATCTAAGAATAATAGTAATTTTTCATCCCATGCTGGTGTACCTCTATTAAATGGATACACATTCTAAGCCTAAAGCTTAGTGGAAGCCATATATATTTTTTAATGATCAAAACAAATATTGGTTTCAGAAACACTTTACCGAGAAGGGAAACATTGTCTTGCAGTAAGAATCCAACTTTCTTTTATCAACGATCCTCCACAGATATGTTTATTTCTATGAGAAAGAGGAAAGAGAAACAAGTAACATCTGTGCACAAAGGGTGCCTGCCAATTAATGAAAATCTATGGCTGCATTTGTTAAAAATAAAAGCATTTGAGAGGAAAATGTAGAAATTAACCCAACTCAAATAAAATAAGTAATTCTTTTATCTGAAGGATGGCATTTGCTGATTGTAACATTAGTACTTTTTTTTTATAATGTGATTAGAATTTTGTGAAACAAACTTTATTTTTGTGTAAGGAACCCATTCATTCACATCAAGATACACTCCCAATACACATGTTCACACATGTGGGTGTCTATCCTTGTGATAAAAGGTTTATGCTACAAATATAGGATAAGTAAACACAAAACAACAAAAGCAATGTACTCCTAATTAAAATTCAGTATGAATCATGAAAAGGACAGATTTGAGTTTTTATTCAAACACTGAAAACCATCTAGTGGTAGCAATATTATATATTATATTGCTACCCTTGTTTCATTACCTTTATATAACAATATTCCATTTATATAATTAAAATGATTTTCCAAAAAAATATTATAGTATATTATAGAATACTTATAGAGAATAATACATACTAGTACACTTATTTGATGATATCCAAAATCTGTAAATCCATTTTTTTCTGGCAGAGAAATGGTAAAAGTACAACCTTTCATAATTTCATTTCCAAAGAGTACAGATGTTCAATGCTTCATAGAGTAATAGAAGAAGATTCCCAGACTGAGACCACAGCTATTTATGGCCTGTACCACACAGGAGGATAAGAGTATATATTGAGTTTTAATTCCTATTCCTTTTAGTATGTGCTCTGGAAGAATCACTAAACAGCTGTTATTACTAAAAACTTAGACTTAAAAGGATTTTTTTTCTCTAAAAGTTTATATTATTCTGATTTGATCAAAAACAATTTCACTTGCTTCTTGAAGGATGGAAACTCCCAAAGGCATATACTTACACATTCTCCTATTTGCAATAATAAATTCACAAGCACATGCCTCTTTCTGCCCAGAGTACTACAAAGAATCACCAAGTAATTCAGACATGTGCATTCTTGGAGTAGTTCATATAATAAAGTGAACCCCTCCCCACATTTTTATAGTCTTCATTAAAGATTCATAATACACAATCAACTATGTCTTCTTAGCCTCACAAATCTATATTGATACTATATACCTAGAACAGTTATACCACAGTCATCAACATAAATATTTATAAAATTTGATAAGTTGCTCCTTGAGAGGACATACTGTAAGACAACTGTAGTCATCACCTACATTGTGATCTAAAGTCATAGGTGTCAAAGAAAATGAACTCTATGCTTGCAAAGAATTGACTTACTCAAGAGATTTTCAATTTTAAGTTGTTTCTATTTGATTCTAATGGCACTATGATTTAATTGCATTAAAAATATACACTTTCTTCCACTACTCTAAGATGCTAGAGGTAAAGGAACAAGTAGTTTTCCAAAAAGAAAGTATCCAACTTCGTATTTGAAGACTAAGAATGATTTTCCCTGTATAAATTATGGAGGAAGAAAGTGAAAACTTGTAGTGGGAACAGCAGCATAAAATTTGGAGGAAGAAACATAGCTTCTAGAAAACAAGAGAAAACAAAGCTTTCCTTTAGGTGCAGTTTGGGGTCTGTTGCATGATGAGGTTCCAATAGTGATGGATAAATGACAAATTTTAAGACTCTGATTGCCATCTAGAATAATATATGTAGTAGAGAGTAAGCTCAAATGTTAACTTTTATTTTCAATATTTAACTATTACACATATTGACTAGCTTAATTTTTTACTGTATTTTAAGTGGGTTACATAGGATATGTCATTAATTCTTCAGAGCATTAAGAAATAGATATGTCAAGAATTTTTTATCCATGCTGATATTACAAAAGCAAGACTATTCAATTATCAAGTTTGTTCATCTGTTTTATGATGAAATATTCTTGAATTTAAAGTTATTGCCATTTTCATTAGAATTACAGTGAAAAAAAGCAGAAATTAAAAACAAATACAACATTTATATACACAGGCATGTTAGAAAATAAAGTCATGATATCCTAGATTGGGAAAGTGATGACATATGTATTAAAACTGCTATGGTGGAAACAAAGTGTAAGTAGTTGTCTTTTGCTCAAATAGGACTGAATTGTCACTTCCAATCAAGGATAATGACAATACATGTGCTCCTTTTTGAACTCTTAAGAAGGCACTAGGAAGGGGCAGAAATGAGAAAAACCAAGACTTAAATTTCAGCAAGCAAATTATGATCAGTCCCCTCTCATATGGCTGCTCATGTGGAGGGCACAATTTTTATGACCATGCATGGCCATACCGCTGAGAATATGACTTTTGCAAATAATCCTAATAGTATAATTTCTTTCTACTAATATTTACCTGTATTTCAAACTAACCATCCATCCTACATTAGTTCGTGTTGGAATCCCATTTACAACTCGCAATTGTTTTGTTTTGGCACACGATATTACAGGATCTAAAAAGAGGACCGAACATAACATTTTGAAATAATCAGTGATAACTAGAGAAATATAACTACTCTAATTGTGTCAAAAGAACATTTTTTTGAGGAGAAGGTAAATTCTATGACTACAGTCCCCTGTCAAACCCAGAATGTTTACAGTCCCATCTAAGTGGACAAGTAACACAGAAAAACAAGTCAACTTAAGGTTGGTGGCATTCCCATGACAATGACAGTGGTTTTGCCCACAGAGCACTAAGTACTAGTTCTTCAGGTTTAACATTAATTGTATTTCCTCACCAACCTCAACATAAAGTGCAACAATGTTATATATAATGATTGTTTTTACATTTCAGTGGAAATCAAAAGACTGGGTGAAAAACAAACTATATTTGCTTTATTGCTTCTGAATTTGTATGTACAGTGAGGATGAAGAGCTATTTTGAAACAATACTAGCATTATATATATTGAAATGCTATCCAAGTGATGTAATTATTATGTCCTAGTCACTCTGTCCAAATGACATAATACATAATTCTTTGGAGTAAACTTTTTCCTGACCCTCCTCTGTATTCATTGCCTTATCCTTTATATTCCTGTCCATGATCTAGAACAGTTTTCCATTTGCTTCCTCAGCTTGGGACACAGCAGGTGGTCTCTTAAATCAAAACACTTGAATAGCTTCATTCAGCCCAAGAAATATGTGAAAATCAAAAATAAGCAGCTCCCAACAGATTTTCTTAAACTGAGGATTAACTGAACCTCTCAGATCCTGTCATCTTTTGCCTCGTAGACTGTAGCACATGCAAATAGCTTTACAGCTACAACAGGAGTATGCATAACTTTACAAACTTATGGGTTTATTCATGACATTACATTCTAATTTCAAGGATAGTGAAGTTCTTTACATACGTTGTGCCCAAATCAAAAGTAAATACAAATGCTCTTTTCAAAGTCAAATAAAATCTTAAAGATTTTCTGATAAAGCATTGAATTTTGATATCTAGTATAAAGTTGCCTTTGTGCACATAGAAAAATATATTTTTTAAATAAACTTTTTTATGATGGGTGTTAGTATAATGATAAAATATTTTTCTATGAAGTAAATGATGGTATTACTTCCGACATAGAGACTCAAATATGTTACATATTTTAGAATATTACTTACGGTCTAGATTGACTATTGTAGGTGTGGTATCACCTTCACCTGTAAAATAAATATATACATATATAATCCATATATATATAATTTCTGCTATACAGAACCAAAGCTGCATATTGAAATGCAAATATCTATGAATTGGATAATCTACTAAAATTATTTACTTTCAAGGACAAAATATAGTACTCTTTTGACTAATTATGTATCATCCTTACTGGACAATATTGAAGGCAACTATCTACTGGTAGTAGATAATGTGAGGAAGGCCCCTTTTATAACTATGAAAGCTCTCTGGTGTGTGGCTTGGGAGCACTGGCAGCTTGAGTTATGCAGTGGACATCGAAGAGCTGTTTCATACTAAGATTCATTGCATTGTACATAATGGACATTCCACTGAATAGCACCAAATGCTTATTATTGTTTGCTTGAAACATTCCTATAGATAGACTCTTTTTTTTTTTTTACTGTAATTTGGACTGTTTCTTTTTTTCTAAAATTTAATTTTATCTTTATATGATTGAGGATAATTGAAACGTCACATGTCAGAAAACTCTTCAAGAATTCTAGAAGATAGAAATCAATGTCAATAATAGAAAAAAAGGATAACAAAATATAATTATGTTTTCTTAGAATATTTCAAAGATCAGTCTTTCCAGATGGTAGTAAAAAAAAAAAAAAGTATGGAAAAAGAGACCACTGGAAACACAAATTAGATCTTACTAAAACCTCATAATTTAATTCTTCTTTTTTTCCAAACTTCCCATCTGGGGTCTAATTACTACAAAAAGAAAGGCTTAGGAGAAACTAGGATTTGAAAATACACAATAATGAATGAGGCACAAGACATTTCCTGGAGTTTAATGTCTGACTGTTCAGAATTGATGACATAGAGTTTAGTCAGACACTATTTAGATCCAGCTGGTTGTTAATCCCTGGAAATGCCCTGAGCTCAATTAAACTGGCAACAACACAGTAATGGCATATGGAGTCCTTTGCAATAGATGCAAATTTGATTGTTATTTATGGGGAATCTCAAGAGAATTAATACACGCTAGAGGATTTTTATTTATGTTCCTTTTTCAGATGTGGGATTTTAAATGAATAAGTGTAAAGGTGTCCATATAAATTTCATCATTTCCCTTTTCCTTTAGCTTATCCTAGGGGAGGGTTTTGTTTTTGAGTCAAATGAGGTCAGTGTTTAAACTCATAGTACAAATTAGGATTGAGAGTGATTATGGTCATTAAAACATCAAGGATATTGGTTTTCCACTCAAGTTAATTACTTGGAAATTCTAAAATAAAAAAACTAAGTATTTATCCCTTATGTTGTTGTGATGAGTAAGACTAGGCTATATGTTCTTCTTTTTTAAAAGATGTATTTATTTATGCATACAAGAACTGGGGTACAAGCCAGAGGTGTGGGGGTGAGAGGATTCACCAGAGACAGAGTAGGGAACAGAATAGGCAGATTAACTGAAGTACACTGCTGAGGGGAGCATTGGGTGAGTCTGCTGCACCATGTGGGTAGCTCCCTGGCCGGCTGGGGATTGAACTTGTGCTGCAGGGCTGAAGATTGCTTCATAGTTTTCATCTTAACCCCTTGTGCCACCAGGAAGGCCCTAGGCTATATGTTCTATCCTTCATTGCACATCCAGTCTCCTGTTACAAAGCATCAAGGTAAAAGGTCAATAAAGTTCATAGTTCATTGTTATACCTTACTAAAATATTTAAGTGAATCAAAAATGTGTAGATGTTGTAAATTTTGGGTTTTAATAATTTATACTTATATATATATAATTTATACATTATATATATATATATATATAATGTTTCTCATACTTTAGAATAAGCTGTACTACCACTTAAGGTTAGATTTCTGGAGATTATGAGTTGGTGGCTATATTAGGAATTTTTTTTTTTTTTTTACAATCCCTCCCTCAAGAAAATCCAAGGGTGTTTTTTTTTTTCTTTTTTTAAGATTTATTTATACAAGCACTGGGGTACAAGCCAGAGGTATGGGAGGGTGAGAGGATTCGCCAGAGACAGATCAGGGAGCAGAACAGGCAGAAGGACCGAAATATACTGCTGAGGGGAGCAGCGGGTGAGACAGGAGAGGTCTGCCACGCCATGTGGGAATCTCTCTGGCAGGCCAGGAATCGAACCGGCACAATGGACTATGGTGGTGGGCTATGGGTGATTTTAGTCGTGGGTGTACTACAGTGACAGTACCTGAGGGGAACATCCTAATATTACCTCAATTAAAAACAAATGTATTAGGAATTTTTAAGTGTCACTACAAGTTCTTTTGTCACACACTTAGCAAAAGTTTGAGAAATGGCTTTCCAGGCCTTTTGCATTTTATTATTGAATACTTTTCTCAGTTTTTTTTTTAAGATTTATTTTATTTATTTATGGATACAAGAGCTGGGGTGTGAGGTGAGGTGGGGTTGAGAGGATTCACCAGAGACAAAGTGGGGAGCAGAACAGATGGAGTGACTGAAACACACTTCTGAGGGAAGCAGTGGGTGAGCCAGGAGAGGTCTGCTGCACCATGTAGATTCGCTCCCTGGCAGGGGATTGAACTCTTGCTGCAGTGGCTGCCATAGATTCATAATACTGATACTTTAACCTCTTGAGCCACCAGGACAGTCCCTTGGTTTTCTTTGACTTCCTCCCCACTTTCTTTACAACAGTACTCAAAACTGAATGTATAAACATATGTAACATGTGTCTTACATATGTATATACACACACATACATATATACACAAACTATATATTTATTCAACCTAAATTTGAACAAGGAAAATCTATCAATCATTAAAATTTTACCTTTAGAAAAGTAAGTCAGATTTGAAGTTGAAGCTTTTAAACACTATATTTTCAGTAGTTTTAAGATTTTTCTAAGAACGACTAAGTGTGTATGTGTATAGACAAACATACAAACATTTCTGCAGTTTTGTTTTTGCACATTTGATAACCTTAAAATATATATTAAATATTAGTAGGAATTTTTTAAAAAGGAATAAAAATCTTTACATGTTTTGTAATACAAATGTACAGTGTGAAAATGATCTATACAGTCTCTGCAGTTAAGTAAATAATATCTCAAATTTTTTAGCTATAAATTTTATTAACCTTTCACCAAGAGGAAAATGTAAATAAATCCTGGCAATAAATACTAGTTAGAAAAGTGACACTGTAAAAGTATTTATTGAAATTAATGTTCAGAATACATTGAAATAAAAATGAGTTATCTTCAATAGTATTTAATCAAATACTAACAACACTCTGAAATCTTTCAGTAGCACATTACTTTTAGTTTACAAATGTTAGTTGAAAATAATTTTGAAAATTTTTAAATTATTAGACTCCTGTGTCACTCAGGTTTATAAACTAAATCACAGTTCCCTGAGATTCCATGGGACCATTTTATACTTAACTATATTTATGTCTTAAAATTAAGTCACCGTGGTATTTACAAATTTAGAATTCTAAAGAAGGACAAATTATGCTCAAGGATTTCCCTTCCTCAGAAGATTCCTATTTGGAAACCAATGGCCATTGCTCTAATATGACTTAGCAACATATGTAGCATACATATCAGCTACATGTATACTTTGCATATGTCTTTTATACACTAATATCCTTTCAATAAGCTCAGAGAAGTGGATAGAATGCTCTAGTCTTCTTAGTCTTGGTCTAAAAAACTGAAAAGAAGATGGATTCACCGTTTTTCAAGTCAGCTCATTGATCTGCTAGCAGTCTGGGGACTTTGCTAAGAGCTCTGCTACTTTCAGAGGCTAAATAGGTAGTATCGTTGAAGACAGGGGGAGAGGTCTTTCTAGCTCAGTTATATTAGAGCAATGGCCATTGACTGTGTCTGGTTTCCAAATAGGAATCTTCTGAGGAAGGAAATCCTTAAGCATAATTTGTCCTTTTTTAGAGGAAAGAGAGAGAAAGAGGGGGGTGGGGGGGGCCGGGAGAGGGAGAGAGATTGATTGTGTGTGTGTGTGTGTGTGCGTGTGTCTGAATGCATCCTCATTTTCAGATCAACTCCAGCCTCATATATTATTTCCTCCTCTGATTAAGATAATAATTTAGAGTAGATCCTGTAATTTAAGATATTTCATCTTTAAAAGAATACTGATGTACTTACAACGAGAAATAGGGCAATAATCCCAAGGAATGAGTGGATTCCCTGTGTAACACCAGGGACCATGGGCATCATCATCAGGATTTCGGCAGTAATTCTTATTCAGCTTACTAGCATCTGGTTCCCAGAAGATATGCCTACATAAACAACAAACTGTTACCATGACAAGACACTCATGTCATCCAAGAAAACAAAACACTATTGAGAAGATATACTCTTAGCACATAACTTTGATTGAAGATAAAATGCAAGTTTCTATTTGGTGTGAAGTTTGGTTATTTTGATTAACATTTTTTTGTTGTTCTTTTTCCTAAAGTTTGAAAACATGTTCTTTAACCCAGAAATATGAAATAAGGCTGCATAATTACCATAGATAAAGTGATAAAAGGGTTTGTGACTTCTATTTTATAATTACAGTGACAAAGTAACAATACCCATCTGCATAGAATTGGAGAAGCATTGTCTAAAAGAGAGCAGATAGCAAAGAAGATCAAGGTTATAAAATATATGGATAACACAAGCCATTGTAAAGTATAGTTTTATATTTAAGAAACATATGAAGCAACAATAACATTAGTATGACAAAGCACAGAAAGATGCATTGGTAATTTCATAATAATATGCTATTGAAATAAAATTCTGAAATTTCATGGGTCATACATTTGCTTATATTTATCTATAAACAAAATAAATGTTTATCAATAAATGAGTAATGGTTTATATCTTAACTAAAGAACTTCTCACTTTACATCTTTAGGAAGTTTATTACAAAAGGAAAACAAGCAATCCTTACTCATATGTTATCAATATTTGTATTTACCTCAGTAGCATTAATGAAGTCAAATTATACTGATGGTCATGAAAACTAAACATCTGTCTGAATTTGTTTTGTATTATTAATTATTAACTAACCTGTTTGGATGTAATCAAGGTGTCATTTAAAAAAAATAGGAAAAGCTTAGAAATGGAAACACACACTATTTTTCCAAACTCAGGTTCTTTTTCTAGATCAATAACAGCAAACACATTTAGTACTTACTATGAGTCAGATTCCATTTTATGTGGTGTAAATATAGAAACTTAGAACAGCCTAATGAGACAGTTTTCAAGGTTATGCCATTTTATATTTGAGGAAATTGAAATCTGAAAAGGACAATTAATTTTCCCAAAGTCACATGGCTTGTTAGTGGTAAAGTAGGGGTTAAATACATGGCTCTTTCTTGTGTTTATGTTCAAAAACCAAGGAAAAAAATTACATACTATTCAAAAATTAACAAAGCTGTAAGAAAATGAATATATTTAACATATAAAACATACATGCTGTCTCATTTCCTTACTCAGTTGAAGTCAAAATGGTACCCTGAAAACTAATCATTCAGGGTACAAAGTATTTCCAAATGATTTTTAAATATTTCCAAAATTCATACCTAACCTCAATGAATTAAGAGTCATTACTATTATGGTTCCTGAATAAATATGCACATATTTCCAATGGTAAACTAGTAAATGTTTAACAACTGGTACTCTGAGGAGTATGGAAGCAGTGAGAGGAGACTTTTTTTTTTATAGGATTCCCTTGCTAATATCTGTGATATAAATAGTTCCACCACCAAAATGTAAAGTTACTGCAAGTATTTGAATTTGGAGGAGATGGGTAGAACTGTCTCACAAATTTGTAAGGCTGGATCCATTGCACCATGTACCTAAAAATACTTTCAAAAACAGCAGTGTTACAGTTGGCATGTAATTTTAATCATGCCTGGTCTTACTTAAAATTCTTTAATGAATTCCTTTAATACTTAGGATAAAATCCAAACTTCTTAACACAACTTACAGTCTCAACACTCAAGAATTTTTTCTCTTTGGACATTGAATAAATTATACTGTTTCAACCTTATCAAAATTATTTATGATTTTCAAACACTTCAATATTTGGATTTTTGCACAAGCTAATCCTTCTGCCTGATGTACTCTTCTTTCTACACACCCTTCGCCCAGGTCCTACTTATCTTTTACGTCCCAGTTCATGTGCCTTCCTCTAGGGAACTTTCCTGACCATCTATAGCTGGGTTACATTTCTCTTTGCATCCCAATAAAATCAGATGTGTTGTAATGTGGTATTGGCATTTGCTGTTTGCTAGCATCCCATATTAGGCTGTAAGATCCAGAAGGGCACAAATCTAGATGTCTTTGAAGTCCTAGAGCTATAGTGTCTAGTACTGTAGCCATTAGCCATGTGTGACTGCTGGGAAATTGGTATATAGCTAGTCCAAATTGAGATGTACTGTCATTGCAGATATAAAACAGATTTTGAAATTTTAATATGATAAAAGATTATGAAGGATCTCAATAATTTCTATATTGAATACATATTAAAATGAGAAAGTATTAGATCTATTGAATTAGTAAAATATACTATTAAAATTAATTTTGTTTCTTTAAATATGATCAATAGAAAGCATAATCGTTCAGTGACACATTTGTGAATGGCATTGTATTTATGTTAGCACTGATTTAGAACTACCACTATTTGTGAAGTAAATTAATTGAAATTCTATGATCCACTAGTCAGTTATTTCAAGAGAGAACAAATACTTTAAAGTTAAAGTAGAACTGCAAGCAAAGTGACTCAAACTGTCTGAATCCTTAATTTCTTATCCACACATATAAAAATATCTTCCACATAGGATTGTGATGGCCAAATGAGGTGACACCTCATATAAATCAACCACATTGTAGATATTTATCAAACAACACTAAACTTTTCTTTTATATCCTAGTACAGATGTTCTGTCATATTAACAAAAAATCTATTTTATTTCACAACTGTGAATCATACTTCATTTTAAATTCCATACACACCAGCACTATGACTAGAGTTGAAAGGATGCTACCTTCTTCATCTGTGAATATATCTAATATCAAAATCTCTAATTTTCTGAAATAAGTAGTCTTTTCATTGATAAGTACATTCATTTAATTAAAGAAAATTTCATGTGTCAAAATCAAAGTTATACCAGAAAATGTCTCTATACATCTTAGTAAATAACAAGCTATTTAAGGTATGTATGTACATAAAAATGGTAACATTGATATTTCATGAAGTAGTATTATTAATAGGTAACTATGAGTACATAAAGGTCATATAATATGCACTCTTTGAAACACTAGACTTACTATTTAATTACAATTATATAAATTCATATAATTATTTTCTCAATATACCCATATTCTCCTCAAATAGCTAGTGATCAACAAATATATGCTGGATAAACCAATTATTTAAGTTTTCTACATAGAAAAGACATTTCACCATATAATCAAATTGAGTTTTTTACTAGTACATTATGATATATTAAAGAATAAAAAGAAGTAACAATGTATATATCTGAATATATGATCAGCTGTTGTCACTGCATGCTATGTATTCAAAGAAAGAAATTTATGCACCTGTGCAAATCTTCCATGTTCTTGTCCCACATTGAGCACGTTAGGCCAGATCGTGTTTTGGATAAATTGCCCATATAATTTTTGCCATTTCCAAGATAACAATCTAAACATAGTTATATGGAAAGAAAGACAATGCATATTAGGGGGGATACACCCAAAAACAAATTTATAATCATATGAATTCATGAAAATCAACATAAAATTAAAAAGCATTCCCAAATGAGAGATTTGAGTATCTCATATTAAAGTATCTTTATTTTCAGCCAAATTTATGAGTCTATGAATCAAATTAAAATTTCAAGGTTTTTTTACCAAAAAAGGAAAAATTTAACAAATGGTTTCTTAGGTATACCAGAGAAATGAGAATTTTTAGAATGACACATATATTTGCCAACATTTTCTTCTGAAACTTTGATTTTATTTTATGAGATGTCATTCTGAGTCACGTAAGTCAGATGTTTTACAAATGATCTATAATGTTATTTTATCTGTTTGTTTTCTCAGAAATAAAATCTAATTAAAGGCAGGGATATTACATAGGTGATATTCCGTCCTCAGAGTATAATAACATCATATGATCATGTGGGACATGGATATAGTTTATTCCATTATTGGGGATAAGTCTGATGACTTGGTTAAGGTGTGTAAAAGAAAAACCCTCTCTTCAAATATAATAACAACAACAACAAATATGTTGGGATCTTTGACATTGTATAAGCATATTATTGCCAAAAAAAATTTTACAAAATGACGGTGATTCATTTTTTGTGAGTAAGTTATTGCTATGTTGTTTTTAAATAATTATTTTTCCATTTCCCATATTTCTTTTATTCTCTGACATTCTTCTGTAAATGAGGATTTTCCCTTCTCCCGTACTCTTTTCATAGTCATAGCTACAGTAATAGCAATAATAGTAGTTCTAGCAGTAGAAGTTGTAATATAAAGATGGAATCATGGATTATCTTCTTATTCAACATGATATTCAAACTGTTTCTATTGTTTCCTTTGATGCCCAAATTTTTACAAATTTAACCAATTGAAGCCACTTTTAACTGGCTCCCATATATTTTATGTCCCATGTGGTTTTATTTTTCACCTTTTTAAAATTGAGAAATTTGTGTTCTCTGACACATTGATAGAAGTGTCTATGTTCTTAATGAAAACAATATAAAAAGAGTAAAGTTCTTCCAAGTATGTTTGTTCCAGTCCTACATTTAAAAAGAAACACTATTCCATATTTTGAAATTACATTCAGTCTATAAAAGTGACTTTTAAATGTTCCTATTCGCATTCCCTTAGGATATGTTATCTTTCATGTACTTTATGATACACACTTCTAAATCATCAATCTAAATGTGGAATTTATATTTCCTTTTATATAGAGAAGGATAATAGTGACATTCTTTCAAGTGTTTGTACATACATATCATACATATAATAATGCATACCATTAACCTGGCAATATCCTACAACTACATGTCCATCAAAATTTCACACCTATATGTTAAATTGACTAAGTGTGTTACCTAAGTGGAAGCACTTTGTCATTTTCAAATTGTTCCATGAAACTCTAATTCAAGAATAATATATTGGTAGTGAAATAATGCACCATATTGTTAAATTATGGATGAAATGAAGAAAGGATGAAGTAATGGAAAGGTCCTTTTAAGGAGAGTTAGATCCAACCCCAGCTGTGTTCCTTTGGAAATTTAGGCAAGTTATTTAAATTCCATAAAACTAGTTTTCTTATCTATTAATGTGCATATTTAGTATATTTGCAATAACATGTGCCTAACTTTCAAATTCTTCATATTCTACTGTCTGTGCCTTTGATTTTATATGTATATAAAGCATCTTAACACACACTAGAAGCTTACAAAAAAAAAATCGTTCTCATTTGCTTCCATCAAATTATCAGCAATTAGTTTAACTAATTCTAAGTCAGAGACTTAGAAGATCCAGCTGGTTTCAAACTTTCCTTAATTATTGGTTTCCACATTATTTCCAGCTGACCTTTAGAATCTTTCAAAGAGCGGTGAAATTGACTGAAAAGAGACTCATCCCCTGTTCCCTTCAAAACTGCTTCAAACTTGTTCATGAAAAATTGTAGTAGAGGATAGAAGTATGTAATGCCAATAAATCCATGAAATGGAGCTTTAAATTTGGCTTGAACTCTTTAGGATAAAGTGGGACTGACCATGACCATCACTATTAAAGTCATGTGCAATAATAAGGTTACTTAAAAATTATTTTTAATTCATTATACTACAATAAATGTCTAGAGCTTCAAATTACTATTAATATTTAACAAATTATTTCTCTTTAAGATCTACTTTAATCTGACTTTACTACTGTTCCCTGAAACAGTTCTCTCCAGTTGCCATCTGCAATTCCATTTAGTGGATTTTTAGTTCCACCACTGTACACCATCTCCTTTGCTAACACCCATGTCCACATCATTCTCATCTTTTGCTTGAATTATTGAAACAATTATTCAATAGATCCCCCTATGTTGAACCTTTTCAGAAATTCTGCCTATTTGCTATAATATAGCTAAAGTGGTCCAATTAAAATTTAAGTCAGATGTATCCTTTAATTCATATTTTACAAATTTAATCAGGGTCTTTTCTCTTTCAAAATAAATGTAAATCCTTCTAATTCCTCCAAGTCTTATGCAGTTTTAGCCCAGCTGCCTTCTAATCTCATCTCTTACTACTGTCTACCTTACTCATTTTCTATCAGCCACAACGATGTGCTGTTTTCTTTTAATTTATCAGGCACTCTCCTATTTCCTGTCAGTTTCCTCTTCCTATTGTGTCTTCTTTAAAAACATATGCATATGGCACAAGCTGCTCCCTTACTTCTTTCAAGTCCCCCATAAAAGTTATCTTAAAATGCAAGCTCTTCCCAGACTATTCAAATATGAAATAGCAATAATTCCCTCCTCTAACTCTGGGACATTTTTCTCCATAGCACTTACCACAAACTAGCTTAGTATCCTCATCACCATCTTAATTTTGTTTGTGTTCTGTTTGTTGAAAATTAGGGGGCAGAGGATTGCATTCTGTTTACTAGAGCAGTGGCTAGAACTGTGCCTGGCACTAGCATATACTCAAATAAATAAATAAATAAATGTTGAGTAAATGAATATATCAAAGAATTTCAACTTTAGATTTGATGATTTTGTTTTTTAACTAACAAAACAAATCCAACAAGAAGCAGATCTGCTGTAAAATGTCCTCTCCATTGAGGCATTTCCCCTGGATTTAATCATGCCCACACTGCAAAATGTCAGCTGTTACCTTGTCCACTTGACACGTCACATTTTGGAATTTGGGAACAGTAGCCAACTCGAATGTTTGGATCAGTGGTAAAACACCAGGGTGACTCAGCCCCATCTGGATTTCGGCAATAGTTTTCTCGTAGGTCCCTGATGAGAATAAGCACGGTCATGTAAATTGCATGAGTTCTTACATTGGAGAAGTTAGCACTATTACATTTCTGAAATCTCAAAATGTGTCACTGTCTATAAATAGAGTCCTAAGTTTTTCAACTTAGGATAGTTATAACAATTTAGAATTCATTATACATAACTAAGACTGCCCATATTACTAAAATAAATGCTGTCAGATGTCGGTATTCTTTCCCTTTCAATGCTTCATGAAAGAGAAATGGTACTTCATTCTTCTCATTCTCAAGACTTGGTCTCTCAACTGTTTCAATTTTAATAAACTGACCTGTTATTTATTATATTTTCATAGCCCATATGTAATAAAGAAAAAACATATAACCTCTCTTTCTGCAGAAGAGGCTTTTATTTATAGTCACTAACCACTCTAATTTACAACAAAAGTTCAACTATTCAAAATCACACATTTACCATATACACAAAACAACTGTTTTTTCCTTGAATTCTACATTCTTTGATTTACTTGGTTTTCTACAATTGCAAAGTAGTTTTTTTTTTTTTAATGAAAGAAGCTACTCAAAATCTTTGTAAATATTTCTTTTTTTAAAAGATTTTATTTATTTATACAAGAGTTGGGGTACAAGCCAGAGGTGCGGGAGGATAAGAGGATTCACCAGAGACAGAGCAGGGAGCAGAACAGGCAGATGGACCAAAAGCACTGCTGAGGGGAACAACAGGCGAGAGGCGAGACAGGAAAAGTCTGCTGCGCCATGTGGGTATCTCCCTGGCCGGCCAGGGATCAAACCGGTGCTGCAAAGGCTGCGTACAGCTTCACAGTGCTGTGCTCAATCCACTGCACCACTGGGTAGGCCCTCTTTGTAAATATTTATATAAAATTAAGGCTTAGTTGTAATATAGAAAAACTAACTTTTGGGGCCTCCCTGGTGGCGCAAGGGATTAAGACGCAGTACTATGAAGCTAACCACAGCCACTGCAGCATGAGTTCAGCCCCCGGCCAAGGAAGTGACCCACGTGGCCCAGCAGACCACTCCTGTCTAGCCTGATACTCCCCTCAGCAGTGTATTTCAGTAGATGTGCCTGTTCTGCTCCCCACTCTGTCTCTGGTGAATCTCCCTCATGCCCCCCGCTCCGCATCTCTGGCCTATATCCCAGCTCTTGTATGCATAAATAAAAAAAAATTTTTTAAAGATTTATTTATTTATTTATTTATACAAGCACTGGATACAGTCAGAAGCGCGGGAGGGTGAGAGAATTCACCAGAGCCAGAGCGGGGAGCAGAACAGGCAGAAGGACCGAAGTACATTGCTGAGGGGAGCAGCGGGTGGCAGGTGAGGTCTGCACGCTTGTGGGACCCTCCTCCGGTGGCCGGGGAGCAGTCGGGGATCGAACCAACACTGCAGAGGCTACGGGCAGCTTCACAACCCAGCGCTCAACCGCTGCGCCACCGGGGAGGCCCAATAAAAAATTTTTTTTTAAAAGAAAACCTAACTTTTCATGTTGCCAATTTAGTACATGTACATCCTTAATTTTGCCAGTGATTTAAATAAGGTATTTAAAGTTCTCAATAAGTCTCTTGAAAGTCTTTACTGATATCTCTGTATGTAAAAGACTTTTATCTTAACTAATCTTTTCTTTTCTTTTCTTTTCTTTTCTTTAATATTTATTTCCGAGGTGAGAAATACATGGATCAGGCATAGAAGGTGAATTGCTGGGGAGGAAATTAGGTAACTAAACCTTGAATGCAAACTATGTATTTGTTATTATAAATAATGAAAAAAAACCATAGCAGATGAATATTTACTATCTAAGCAAATATGTTAAAATAGCTTTTAAAAAGACCATAAAATATCTTCTCTCTCCAATATGTCGACCAACCGGTGCTCACAGTTTTCCATCTTGAAATGTTAAGCTCTCTTATTAAAAGCCAATTACATAAAGCCAATATATGTTATTTATAGGTGCTATTTCAGCAAAGCCACTATGAATGACACCTGTGTTATAAATTTCAAAAGCAATCATTTTATGTTTCTCATAACAAGGTGGACAATTTAAAAACAGATGGCATTGTGGCTGTGGCTGTCCAACAAAAGTCAAGTGCTGAAATGGCAGTGAGAGAAAAGGCACGTAACAACTACATAATTACCATGCAGGGAGGTTTCATTGGCTTGATTTATCTAAATAATTGTTGTACTTCCCCACTTTTTAAGAAAATCTAGAAATAATATAAAGCATTAATTTAAAATTTTAAATATTTTGTTTCAAGGCTTTTCCGCTTATCAGTTTATCATGTTGGCTGAAATAAAAGTACACCACTTAACTTCTTGTAAGAGAAAAAAAAAATGCACCCTAAAGTTAACATGAAAATTTAAGAAAGCACTAGTTTGAAATTTGCCTGGTTGTCATTACCATTAGTTGGCTATTAAATTGATTTGCAGAACAAACCTGGATAAGACCTAGGAATGTGATTACTGAAGATCGTACATCAACCATTGTATTCAGAATCACCTAGAGTACTTCTTAAATCTGTATTTGAGATTCAAGTGTCAGATCAAAGGAATCAGAGTCTCTGCATGCATAGATCTGCCTCTTAACTCCTGATTATCCCTAGGCACAATATAAGGAACACTAACACAGGAATTGGCAAAAAGAAACAAACAAACAACAACAACAAAAAAGCCTCATTTTCTCAAGTACATACTGAAATTTATAATATTTGCTACTTTACTCACTTGCACTTGAAATTTTCAGGAGTTATGTCATGTTGGTGAGGATATTGTGAATCCCAACGCTGACATGGAATTCCATTCCAAATGGTATTAATAGTGCCCCTGTAACCTTCTCCTTGACCTTGAATGCATTCGGTTGTTTCCATAGGGACATCAGTGTCATTCATATTACTGTGAGCTATTGACAAAAATAAATATAACCTTAAGTAAATTTTTTCAACCTGTCATCTCCCTCTTAGAGTTAATTTGTGCATGTATTACCAGCGTTTTTTGTCACATACATTTTTATAATAATTGAGTTTATAATATTGAATTTATCACTATTAATATCTCACTCAACCTAATGGTATTGATATGGTGGACTCAACTGTGGAATTATTCTGCTTATAAAACAGAACATTCTAACTTGGCGTTTAATCTAAGCCAGTTTGAAGATATCATCAAATACTACTTGTAGTTCCTGGCACTGTCTACTCATTGATTGAATTACCATTAGATATAAAATCTCTCTGCATTTTAATGTTTATGTATTGCATATATGTTTTTATAAATCACTTTTATTACTTTAGAAATTGAAAAACATTTATGAGTAATATAGTGACCAAGAAGGACAATAAAAAGCACTATCCTGTAATTTGGTTATTAAAAAGGGTAAAAAAAAAAAAAAGGGTAAGAAAAGAAAAATTAGTGTTGGTCTAGAGGGCAGTTATCAAAAAAGTTCAACTTATTAGTATTGCTATTTCCATTCAAGCTTTCCTTTTATTCAAATATGAAATTAGTTTATTCTTGAAAAATTCCATAAAGGCATTTTACTTCTACTACCATTTACAGATGTTAAATATACAACATTTCTGAAATGACTATATATATCTATTCCTAAAAGTAATTTGTTTCAATAAATACAAAGTTAATAATGGTATTAACCATAATTTTTCTTTTAATATTTTTAATATGATATATATTCTAAGTTGATATGTTCATTTTTAAATCAACTTACTGGCATTAAAAAGTATATCAGTTGTTCTTAGGAAAATTTATTTCTTGTGTCTTTCCTAGTCTGAATGCAATACTTATCACACTTCATGAAGATCATGAAAATGCAGTAACAAAGTAAAAATACAAAATTAAATTTTTATCACAATTGTATTCTTTCTTTATGTCTTTGCTGTTTACTGTAGTAAAATATAACTCAAAACCTTCCAGAGTAACTAAAATTCATATACCTTTTCAAAACATACATAAAAATAAATGTTTATAGTTTAGGAGAAGGAAGTCAGTATTAAATCCCCAGTTACCTATAGAAATTGACATCATCTAGAACAATTCTAAGATTAGAATAAATATCTCTGATTCAATTATTCTGCAATTAGATGCATTATTTCTTTAAGGGAGAAGTCAGGGTTAAACATATTTCTATGTCTTAAACATGTTCCATTTCTAATAGTATAAGTTCTTTTCATATGGTTCTTCAACTTAATTTACATTTCTTTCTTTCTTACAAATAATTACTATCTTATGAGACTGAATGGTTTAAGTAGACCTTAAGTTTGGAGTTCTGTCAAGCTTTGCTTTAAAAGGAGAAGGATTAATAACTGACTATCCTAACCACTACCACTGGAATGTGTTGTAAATACAGATTACCACAACTTTCCTTTTAACAATATTTCTTCAGCTCATTTAAAAATGTTTTGATTTTTTTTTTTGAGGTAACAATGGTTTACAATGTTGTTTTTGATTTAAAGGTATAGGATCTCCCCCTTCAGGTGTTGTTACCGCATCACCTCCCCCACCATTTTTAAAAGTAACAACCCTAAAATCCTTATCATTTGAACCATTATATTAAATAATGTTTTCTAAATTTTCATTGGTACATAAAAATTTTATAAAACATCTTCAAGCATTCCTAAATAGTCATTAAAAGAAAATTTCAGTTATAATGATTAAATTTTAAAAAATGGATTTGAATTAAATATGTACTATTTAACAGATTCTAATCTGCAGGTAAAATGCAAACTTTATGAAATTTACCAAATTATAAAATATAAACTCTTACTGCTCATTAACAAAAATATTGTATAAATATAACATCTTAGACATCGGTGTAGGCTGAAGGTTTTTGTCTGCCCCAAATTCATATACTGAAAACCTAAATGGTTAGGTTAGAAGGGCCACGCCCTCATCAATAGGATTAGTGTTTTTGTAAGAGAGACACCTGCAAGCTCCCTGGTCCATTCAACCACTGCCACATAAGAACTGCCAGAAACAGTCATCTATGAACCAGGGATCAGATCCTCTGAACACACCAAAACTGTCAGAGCATTGACATTGGACTTCCAATCTCCATAACTGTGAGAAACAAATGCCTTGTTTATATGTCATCTAATCTGTATTATAGCAACCTAAACAGGCTAAGACAGGCCACACAAAATGCAAAGAATATGAATAATAATAAAACTTTCTATCCTTTGTTTTCATAAGCACCTACAACATTAGAATATATAAACTATAACAACTTGACCATTTTATTTATTCTTCCATTTTAATTCAGTGAAAATATGCCTTATTACTTCAACTACAAACTTACAGATAATATTGTTATAGTGTTCAGTTAGTAATTTTCTTTAACCAAAAGGGGACCTCAGAAGTTAGTGCATCTATTTATCCAATTTACATGGAGTTGCTAGGTCCCATAAACAAAAACAACATAATCCTGATGTGACTTTATAGAATAAATAGTAATATCAAATAAAGATATGTTAGTTTTCATAAAAAATAAGGGTTATTATGAGACATCATGTGGCTGTTTAATAAATATTATCTGATAAGACCATGAATGATGAATGATTTGCCCATAGAACATTTAACTGGGTTATAAATGTTTGATCTTTGCTGCCCACATTTACTTAGTATTCAAACAAAATTAGTTATTTTTGAACTGTAGTAAAATAGATTCCTTCTGTTGCAATAATGTATACACATCAAAATGACACACAAAAAAACAAAAATTTCGGGGGGCGGGAGGGGAAGGATTGGGGTCAGAATGGGGCGTTTGCAATTGTATGGGGGAATATAAAAATAAAATTTATTATTTAAAAAAAAAATTTCATGCCAGTTGATTAGGAAAGGACTAGTAAATGTTGGGAAAGCTACTCCTTTTGACGTAACTCTTTAACATGGAAATTGAATAAGGTAGAGTTTTCTTGAAGTTTCAGTAACCAAGCAAAGTGTTAAAGAAGCTTAGAAACATCCCTAACTATCAGCTGAAGCTGATCAACATGTTTTTTAAAATACAGCACCCCCACATATACAAATATTTTTGCAAGTGTGTTTACCAAATCACACTAAAAATACCAGGAACTCTTCTGAGAGTTCCTTACAAATAAAACATTTTGCCGGAGGTGTCAGTAGTGGCCACCCTTTGGAAGCTGATGCAAAGATATTTATATGACACTCAGTGCCCTATGAGGGAAGGAATGTTTTTCTTTGATGATTGACAGAGTTTTCTGTTTGGATATGTTTTAAGGAAAATAACAGTTGCTATTAAAATTTTTCACTGTCCTCAGAATATGATCAAATACAATGGGTGCCACTTGGAACATTAATCTCACTTGGCCGGTGTACATGTGCTGTGATCTGATTGCTATAGTATTTGGTAGGGAATTTTAAGGTTTGAACAGATTTTTTTTTTGAGAAAAAGAGTATCAGCTGCTGTGTATTCTTGGGAAGGCATCATGCCCCGAATTGGGGTCAGTGTAACAAGGTCACAATTAACACATTTGAACAATTTTCTCTGTGAAACACTAGTCAAATCCTTACAGTGACCCCAACGTTTGATGGAGATCTGTGAATGGCAATTGGAGAACATGAGTCCACAGGCATAATACAGAGCCCTAGTCAGGGCTCTGTAAGCTCTCTATGAATGATATATAAATGCTACCATTTTCAGTCCTCTCTCTGAAAAAATAATCTATATTTCTTAGTGGTGATAAACTATTAGTGCTGTGTTTCCTACAGCTAAGAATACATTGTATCATAGGCCATTGACAAATACCTGATTATTCCAACCCACTTCTTATTTCTAGCTACAGATGAGCAATGAAACCTAGGATTTGCTTTATTATAGTGAAAAGTGATTGAGAACAGTATGTAAAGCTATTCTCTCATCACCAGACTTATTCTCTTTGGACCACAAAGGGCAGCATCTGTCTCAATGTAGATTTAAAGTGTTGCCTGTCTTAAAATTGACATGGGAAAGTAACACAAAGACCTCCAAAGCACAAACCTCAAATTGCTTGCACGTTTGTTTTCCATGTGAACCTAGTATTCCTATCTGAAACTTTTCCCTGGATTTTATCCAAGCCCTTTGTAGTATTAAATGCTCAGGAGAGAAGACTTTTTTGAAAGATTTTTAATTCTATACCCTTATTCCTTAGAAGATAACGTTGGAAAAAACCTGTAAATACAAGACCTTTCCCTTGAGAAAGGGTATGGATAGCTTTGATTTTTCCACAATCAGAAAATAAGATTTTATTTCTATGAATCTCTATTTTAGCCTTGGATGAATTAAGGAGATGCAGATAAAATTACCTTTCTTACATGCAAACACACTGAATATTAAAAGTTTAGATAGTCTCTTAAAATGATGCCAATGTATAATTGGCTAATAGTAGGAAGGGTTCTTTTTATTTACAACCCATGGCAACATGGGTTAGTCTGCTTGGAATGCCATAAAAAAAAATACAACAGACTTAGTGGCTTAACCAACAGAAATTTATTTTCTCACAATTCTCTAGGCTGGGAAGATCAAGATCAAGATGCTGGCCAGTTTGGTTCTTGCTGAGAGCTCTCTGAAATACAGTCGACCATTTTCTTTCCATGTCCTCACATGGAGGAGGGAAGAGGCAGATGTAGGAGAAGAAAGAGGAAGGGGGGGGGAGAGAGGGAGAGAGAGAAAATCTCACCCTTTACTTACAAGATCACTAATCTGATTGCATTAGAGCCCTACCTTTACAATCTCATTTGAACTCCAAAGGCCCTATCTCCAAACACAGTCACATTTGGAGTTAAGGCATCATTGTCTGAATTTAAGTAGACAGAGGTTTTAGCTATCACTTCTAAAATGGTGAGCTATTATTCAGCAGTTAGAAAGCCTCAGTTATGCTGGGTGAGTAAGTACTAGAGCTTTTTTGTACAATTAAAGCCTATAGCTAACAATAAAATATTGTTTACTAAGAAATTGTTAGGAGTTTAGATATCAAGTTGAGAGTTCTTCCACCACCCCGCCCCCACCCTCACAAAGGTGTGGGCAGGAGCACAATTTTTGAGGTGATAGACATGGAGTAGATGCTTTCACAGTGTATGATTTTGTGCAAACTATCAAATTATATACATTAGATATCTTTAGGGGTTTTGCACATCAACTATACCTCAATAAAGCTGTTAAAAATAAATAAAATGTCTCTCTGGACACATATATATATATCTAGAAGTTTAAACAATAACAAGGGGGAAGAAAGATGTGGATTAAAATTAGGTAAACCATGATAAGACATCTATTCTTTTTTTTAAAGGTGCAGCCGTTAAGACAACTAGCAATAAATGAACAAACCTAATGTATAGGAACATGAATTCTGGGGGTGAGTTGAGGTGATGAGTATGAAGCAAATCTTCCTAGTTGGCAGTTTCTGACATAAAAGCCAGGTTTTCATATGAACATCAAGAAGCGTGGAACCATTTTGGGCTGGATCAGAGAGCAGGGAGGAAAATGTGGTAATATATGATGTTAGAGACATATGAAGGGGGAAGAAAAATATTTTTTTTCTCTTTGTCTTATGGTCAAAGGAAATCATGTGTCTTTATCTGGTGTTTATGTATGTGGTATATGTAGTAGGAAAGGGGAAGGATATACTCAGACTTTTAAAATATCATTCTCTTTGTGGTATGGACAAGGAATTGAAGGGGAAAACTATTGAATTTAGATACAACTACATTAAAAAAAAGTGTTCAAGATTAAAAAAAATAGCCTCTTGGATAAAAGAGATAGTTATGGGATAAAAATGACTCATTTTAAGAGGTACACAGGAGATAAATTGACAGGTCTTGATGATTCCATCTTGAAAAAAGGAACCGTCATGTCTAGGATTTTTCTAACTGTTTTAATTTTAAGGTGTGTAATTATTGGTACCAAACATGCAAAAGAGAACCTCAAAAGCTGATTAGATAAGTATAAACAGAGTGTCTTAAGAACCCGTCCCATCAGTTTCTCCTTCACATCCCTCGCCCAGGCACACACATACTGCCCAATTGATCTGTGCACATGTAATGCACATTTTCCCACTCCTCTCCCCAGCTGGAACTCACTGTCTTCTGGTCTTGGTACTATGGAAACTGTTTGCAAGAGCTTAAGTCCTGAGCCCTCCCACCTGCACACACACCACAAGGGCAAGGAACCAGAGAAGGCCAGCATGAAGCCTTTGGCCAGGTCTCCTCGCAAGTCACTTGCAAGGGTCAATGACTGGCCTGGCATTTGCCTGTCCTGGCGAGAGAAGTTCTGCAGCCAGATCCTTGGGGCTTACTGCAGACTCAATGCTGCAATTGTATAAAGGCTCAGGATATCTTGTTAAATTTCATGGTGAGTCCATACTGTCTCCTTCCCCCGCCCAATCCCCCCAACCCCAAATAGTATATTGGTGGCCACTGTGTCCACCTTTCTGTAGGACTCTACTGGGTTTTTCTTTTAGAAATGAAATCTGTGTCTTACGTACTGAAAAATTAACCTCTGGGGGCCAAGGGATTTCCATCTTTGGCTGAGTTACTTTCAAACTTTCTCTGATCCAGTTTATCTATTGTTTTTGTTCAAGAATTGAATGTTATCTTTGCTTAGTTGTCAAAGTATACGTTCTGGTGTGGTGTACACTGGTAGGTGTTCGTTCATGATGTTATTACATTTTTTTAAAGATTTATTTATTTATGCATGCAAGAACTGGGATACAGGCCAGAGGTGTGGGAGTTGAGAGGATTCACCAGAGACAGAATGGGGAACAGAACAGGCAGATTGACTGAAATACACTGCTGAGGGGAACAGTGGGCAAGTCAGGAGAGGTCTTCTGTGCCATGTGGTTATCTCCCCGGCTGGGGATCGAACTTGTGCCGTAGTGGCTGCGAACAGCTTCATAGGTTGTGTCTCAACCCCCTGCGCCACCAGGGAGGCCCATTATTACATTTTTATTGCCACAATTTTCTCTATACAGTAGAGGGTGGAGAATGTTTGTGGTTTAGGAAATGTGGTGCTTTTCTTTGACTGTTAAATGACTTTATGAAATACATCTTTATATTAAAAAAAGAAAAAGATATTAGATGACTATTAGATCTAATTAAGTGTGAGAAAGCTCCAATCAGGTGAGTTGCTGGTGGTGAGAAGTGAGGAACAAGTGTGAGAAGCCCTCAGGTATCCGGTGGTCCGTGTACTCTACTGAAAACATGTCAGCCTTGCACATTTTAACATATAGGAAAAGTGCTGTTTTTAAAGGGCTTAGGAACATCTGGGGTTCCTGAGATTTTTAGGGAGTCCAGAAGATCAAAACTATTTTTATAACAATGCTGAGATGACCTCTGTCCTTTATGTAATGAGATTTCTAGTCACCATTTCATGTATTCCAAAAGAATGAATGCAGAAGGAAATACAAGATATTTAGATATATTCCTCTAATTAATGTGACATCAAAGAGATTTGCTAAAAAGCCCAAATTTGTGAAAAATCTAAGCAATGCTAATGGTCTCCCTATTTATCTGAAAATAAAAATTATCTGAAAGTTAGAAGTATCATAGTCACTCAATTTCTTTCCCTTCCAGTATCCTTTTAAAATAGCCAAATATTGGTTGGAAACAGTAAAGGAAGGTGACATTTGAATTTTCCAGTGGCTGCATTTGAAAGGTGAATGTAGAGGTAATGTAATGTGTGTAGGGGGACTAAATTAGGTCTTTTCAGAGGAATATCCCCAAGATGATGTTCTAGGAAAATGAACAATACATATCCATAGCCTCATAATTGTATATTTATCATTCTGGGTGCTGGTACACAATCCAGTTTAGATTCATTGTCACTATGTATATATATATGTATAGTGGCACTATATATAATATATAAAATATATATAAATATTTATAATATAAAGAGATATGCATATATGCATATACACACAAATTATTATATATTATATATTATATATATATTTTATATATACATATACACACATGCATACAAATATATATATTTGTGTATATATATCTTTATATTATAACTATATATCTTATATATATTTATATATTATAAATATATATCTTTATATTATAAATCCAATTAATAATATTATTACCTTACCAAATTTATGCAATTCTTCTGGTCTTATCATTGAGGTTTTTTTTTTTTTTGTGGGACCCTCGCCTGTGGCCAGGGATCAAATGGCTGCGGGCAGCCTCGCAACCCAGCGCTCAACTGCTGCACCACCAGGGGAGGCCCAATTCTTCTGGTCTTAAAGCATTTCAAAACCTAGTTGAAAAAATATAACTCCTACTCATAGCAATAAAAAAGTCTAGAGTTAATTTAAACTAACCAGCATTATTCATAGAATAAAAAATGTGTGAGTTAACCATGAGGAGAGAACCAAGTATACAGATTTAAATGTATACAACAAGCAAGTGAAAAAAGAAGCTTTTTATCCTCCATCCAAGAGGGGAGGGTTAAAGTGAGTCCATAGAAAGGAGGGTAGTTCTGCTAAAAGGTTGGCAAAGAACACAGGCTGCTACAAGGGCAGCCTGAGAAGTGGGCATCAGCTACTAGAAAATAAAGACGTCTGTGAGAAACTTCTATCAGACTTACTATTCTTCCCTGTAGCCTCTGTCATTAACCAGAAAAGATTCAGTCAGTTGACAGCTCTTTTATGTCTGAGGACAACAGGTAGAGAAAGGATACCTGTTCGATAGGTAAGAATGTAAGGTCCTAACTGGTGCCTCCTTGATGATGTTATGATACTGTGCATGTTCCCTGATCTTTTCTCCCTCTGTGGATTTTTCTCTTTTTCTCCATAACATGTTTGGCCTATACCATAGTATGGATATTTTGTGTGTATGTGCCCACTTATTTATTTCTTTCATAATAGTGACTCACTGAAAATTCCAAAGATCAGGTAGGATTACATATCACATTCTTAAAATATTAAAACCTACACACATTAAGACATCTAGTAAGCATCTAGTAAAATAGTTGTTAATCTGTCTTACTAATAATTGTCTGCTTAGATCCAGTCTGCAAGAGGAAAAGGAAGCAATAAATTTGACCAACTTACCACACATTTTAATTGCACAGTACTCCCAGGGGGTGTCAGGGTCAAGAGTATAGCACCATGGCCTCGGCTTGCCATCAGGATTGCGGCAATAATTATCATCAAAGCCTTTGTCGGGATATCTGCAAACCACACCAAGAAAAGTGTCACGTAAATCTGCCTTGAAACGCCACCCGGCCCTAGACTTCAAAATAACTTTCAACTTTACTGGAAGCTACAAGCTGGAAGGAAAGAGGTTTTCCATGTTTTGCCTTGAATAGACAGCTAATCATTGACTATTAACTTACATATCCTACTAAGTCCCTTTACTAGTAAGTTAGATCCAGTCAGTACCTATCCACCAACTGATTTCCCCAATAGATTCCCCTTCTCATTGGGAACAATTAAGGACAGATTACATATATATGACCTCATGTAGAATGTTCATTAAAAAAGCAGGCCCTATTCAAGGGCAGGCTTAAAGTTCAAACTGAAAGTCAGGTTTCAGTAGCTCTGTTACTAATGATAGCTCAATTTTGGAAACAGAGCCTTTCTAGGTCATGCCCTACACCTACCAGAGAAAGAGACAAACTCCAACACACCACTTTCTCTATATCCTCCTCCCTTTAAATGAACAGAGTCTTGAATCAGTGACCTGATTTTAATTGCTAACATATCCTTTCTGTTCCTACTTAAAAGATAAGATATTCACTTAAAAATAAAGCAGAGTTTTAATTTCATTTAGAAAAACAACAAAGAAAGAAGAAAGAAAAGACACCTCTCAGCAATTTCCAAAGAAAAGTAGGGGTGGCATTTCCTCTATAATTATTTGTGTTTGTATTCTTTATAGAATAAACTAAGGGAGTTTCTTTTCTTTCATCAATTAAATCAAATGAATGGGTCAGAGCAGATGTATAATTTAACCATTTAGACTCAAAACCTACTTCTGGTGAGAAAAATGGATTTGGTTTCCTGATTTCTCTAAATTTGCATTTTCAAACTATATGCGGATAAGCAGCCAAAGAACTACTCCACCTTCCATTCCTTTTCTATGGCTATGACATGTGTCATGGTGTCACACAAAGTGCTCCATTTTACCTAATTCACTGATTATGTGGCTCTAAAAGCACTTGGGTTTGCATTTAATGATCATGTCCACCCACCCCCAACATTGGGTCTGTCAAAGGGGTCATGAGTGAATGGACTTCTTTCTACTATGGAAATGAAAGAGGTGTGTATGTTGTTAGTTCTGTTAGAACTTTTGTTAGTTCTTCCCTTGGTTTAGGACCATCCCGATTTCCTGGACTCTATCTAGTCAGCCATTGAGTAGAAGGCATAGCCACTGTCCTCATCTATGTCACCATAAATGCCTTTGCCCAAGACTACCTCTTTCAAATATAATGGTTCCAGTAACTCTGTCAGAAGGATCCTGAATATTCAGAGAAATTCTAAATTTTATGTTCATCCATTTTCCAGAAAACATTATACTAAATAAGGAGAATTTCCATAGCAGCTTATCATGGAGCAAAACCAGACTGTATAGTAAAGAATCATTGGAAACATGACGTGGTGATCTTTTACCTTTCTGGCAAGAATTTGTGTCGGTGTGGTGTCTGATGATCCCAGCGCTGACAAATCTTGCCCGATTCTGTATGATCCATAGGACCTCGATAACTTTCTCCATTGCAGGTCATGCATTCAACTAATAAAATTAAAGTATGGCATGTTAATTGCTTCTGACAGCAAAACCAAGAGTACTGCTATTCCATTTAAAGAACAGTAAATCATCTGTTTAGTAAAGAGATTTTTAGAGAAACTTAAATAGTGCATAAAATGCTCCCTACAGAACTCTACATATAGTTTAAATGGGATTTTTGAAATTAGTGTCATACAGATTTAGTGTAGGGCCAGAATGTTGCCTTGCAAATTTATCAACAGTGTCCCAAAGATACTAAAATCTGGAAATATAAGATATGCCCTTGGAGACTCTGCCTTTATTAGTCTAAAATAAATAGAATCTCAGTATCTATACTGTTAGCAAAATAGTGCTTCTTTCTCAACTTACACATCTAAATATATACACAGAAAATACGCATTTTAACATGAGTACATGTCATATTCCTACGGTTAATGCAAATATCAAGACCAGACAGATTGGAGAAACTAGCTTTGGTCAGAAATCTGGTACTATGAAAAGCACACCAATATTTTAAAAGAAGAAATCATGACTCTTATCTCTCAGTGAATACCCATATTGAATGGGCAAGCTTACATTCTTCCCTAAGTTAGCATAGGTGACCTGCTATTGAACTCCTTGTACTCACTGTTTTGAAAATGTATAAGCTGATCTAATTATGCAGGATCTTACTGATGATTCTGTGAGGTTAATTAATAGTTCTAACTGGCCTTTTATGTCACACTGAAAACTCTGAATCATATCAACTTGCTGAAAATGAGACTTCTCAAATGGACAGAATGATTTGTAGCACAGCAGGCATCCTCTAAAATAAATCATTGCTTGGCTTTGCTAAGAATCCGGCAAACTTCCCCAAACACATCATTTGTATTGTGATTACTGATCATATAACTTCATCTGAAGGGAAGGAAAGATATCAATGTTTAGTTTTGTCTACCAGGGTCTAGTTTAATGAATATTTGTAATAATTTGGGATATAAGAAATATCTCTTTTGAAATGTTGATTTTTATCATCTAATAGGGCATTAACTATTAACTTTCTGATACATGAAACTATATGGCTTGATCCATCTACTTCTTTCATATAGGTTAATCTGTGAACTAAGACAAAGGGCCAGTTCAGTTTCTATTCATTTGATATTGAGATTCCCCAGTCTACAGTCAGTAGAGACCTAACTATAAATGAAAGGGATCTAAGAGCACATAGATAAAGGTGCACTGTTTGGCCAAGGTCATTTCCATGTTGAAATGTTAATATAGTTTATATATTATATTTCAGCTTTCCATTTGAAAGGGGTTCAGGTCTATAGAGTTCCCTTTTGTTAATAAAATGCAAGCTTTGATATAGTCACAGAAAATGATGTAGTATTTCTAATTGTAGTTTGCTCCTTCATATGCCCATAACTTAAGAGTTAAGCATCTGCATGTACAACTTGTAAATTTGTATAATACCCAGCAATCAGAATATACTTCCTATGTATCCTTTAGAAAATGCAGTTTATAAGACTATAACCCTTTTTAATGAGCATGAATAATTATTTTTTCTGGGAAGCTGTACTATAGGGATTGTTATAGAAAAGCTTCTCTTGACTTTAGGATTTTTAATTTTATTAGGAAAAAATAGTTATATAAATGAAACAGCTAATTATGTAAGATGACTACTTTCCAGAATGAGTGTGGTAGAATCAAAAGCTTATCCAAACTTTAATGTACATAAAAGTTACTTTAAAACATGATTAAAGGAAGTTCTGAGTTAGCGGATTAGGGCTAGAACATTAATACCAAGCTTTTAGAGGATGCTGATTCTACTGGCTCCTGGACCTACTTGAGTAGGAGGTTTTATTTTATTTTGTTTGTTTTATTCTAAAACTTCCAAGTGTTGAACAATAATAGCTTTTATAGGAGAGAATGGATTTTATTTGGACCTGGAAGGATGGATGTGTTGAACAGCGATAAAATGGCAAAATACGTAAGATGACATATAAGACACATGGATTAGTATGTTATGTTTATATGAAAAGAAAGTTAAGGGTGCAGTTGAAAAACTAATGAAATTTTTAACTAAAAAAGATATCACGAATGAGGCTATATTTTGGAAGGCAATGAAAGTTGTTGAGGTAGATATTAAACATACCCTGTGATTGGACTGAAATGATAAGTAGAGTTATATATTCTTTGAGTATTCAGTACCTTTAATATATAAGATATCATTTGATCCTTGCAGTAAAGAAAATAAGGCTCACAAAAATTTTAAGGAACTTACCTAAAACAGAAAATATCAAACCTGTGCCTGGAACACAAGTTTTCTGACCCACAGTCCAGTGTTCTTTCCATTCTTCCTAATTGTCTTTTTGTCCTACATACTTTTAATCTGTTTCCTATCCATTCTAACTGGTCATACTTTAAGACAGACTCACAGAACAATCTTAGGAAGTCAACCCTCCCTCCTTCTTCAACATTGTTCCAACAATCCTCTGTCCTCTTGTTTACAACAGTAGGTTGTCCTCCTGTCAGATTCTCCCTCACTGGAGCATGAGGAGAAGGAGGCCAAGGGGAAGCAACTAGATGGTCACTTACCCAAGGCTGAAAAGTTTGTTTTATCACTACATCAAACCATCATGTTCGTCATATACAACATCTCAAAAAAAAAAAAAAAAAAAAACACAAATTTAAACTTAGAGTTAGTTTTCAAATTTTCATAATTCGAAGAATGTTCCGAGTTTTCCCAGCTCAAGGTCAAACAGTAAGGGTGGAAACCAAGTCCACCTGCTCAAGGAATCAGTGAAAGCACGATCTATATGACAGTGCAAGAGAGTGGGCATGTCCCTCCTGTCCCTTCTTCTTTGGGGTCTCTCTATTGTGGCCAATGTATTATTTAAACATGTCAGCAAGTTTTTTCCCTTTAAAAAGAAAAAAAAAAAGGAAAATGCTATCCCAGATTACATAAATGCAAACAAAATAAATGTTTCTACTCATAAGTAGAAGAGTTCTTTTAAATATGGTTCTATTCTAAATGATAGTAAAAAACAACAAAAACTGCACATGATTTGTATATATAAGTAGCATTAATTTAGCATCTTTCTTGTCATACAAACTAAACTGAAAAAAATCACTGTTTCAATTATCTCCATCCTAAAACCACAAGTGATCTGTGTTTACAGACTAAACGAACTGTTTTTAAAGTATCTCGTAGACATATCCATGCTAATCATCACTTCAGCAAAACTAAATCTTGAACAGTCTCACAAATCCACATTTATGTGGTTTTATTAAGCCTTTTTTAAAAAAGTATTTCTCCATAAGAGCATGGCATTAAACACAAAGTTATGGCAGTATTATTAAGTATTTTAAGTACCAAAAAAAATAAGGATTATGACTGAATAATATCCATTTGCTTGAATATTTGATAATCATTTAAAAAAATGCCAATGTTTGCTTTATTTTAAATCCCAAGCAAAAGTTAGAGCAAGAAATTGAATTTTACATATCTCAATTTTCCATAATGATTAATCTTACATTAATGGTAATGTTTTCTTTACAGAATTATGTCGGGTTCTAAATTTTATAAAAGGTTTTTCATTTTCTTTTGGAATGCTTAATACATTTTGAAGGTTTAAATTATTAAAGTAATCATTGAATACCAGATTTATTTCTTTGAAGAACCAAAATTTTATGTGATTATTTAACCAGTAGTTCATTACAGTTACAAAAATTTCAAAAAGCATGAATTGATTTACATGTCTTGTTTTTTCAAAAGAATAGTCCAAAGTTTAATCATAGGTACTGTTCCTGTATAATTTTAAATACGTAAGATGATTTGATTATTTTATCCATACTACTTTATTCATAACATTATAATCTTTAGACTTGGCCATTTAACAAATTAATATTCACATATAAAAATGGCTCACCCATCATATTACTTAAGTATTCTCAATTTAGAGGGTTTCCCTCATATATGCATCTGAATAGAAATTTATATCATATCTACACTACTTTGTATATCTTGTATTATCCATTTTATAAATAACTTCTTTTCTGTGTTAATGTATTGACAATACTTTTTAAAAATCCTCTTCATTAAAATCCTGCAAAAGCATAGTTCATGTTAGTGTGAATTTAAATATCGCAGCTCAATTCACACTTCCTGCAATATGTTTACCCTAGAGGGCAGGTGTTGGTTCATTTCTCTCTCAGGAGGGTTATTCTACTATTGTCAGACTTCTAATTGTTTCCAGAAAGAGCACATCTGCAACCTCTAATGCCATGGTGACCAATTGCATCATTAATGAGCAATGCCCTTTTCTAAGGGAGGCACAGTGACCTCAAATTATTAAAGGATATTAAAGATGTGCATTCTAATGAGATATGGATAACTGGAAATTGTATTTTTCTCATTACTTCTTTTCCAGCATGTTTATTCAACATTGGCTATCAGTTCAGATCTGTGCCAGTGTTGTTTTTTCTTTCTTTTTTTTTTTTTGATGAAAGTTTTTATAAACCAGCAATTGAAAATAAAATTCCCATATGGACTAGGAGATAACATAAATGCTAAGCTGTTTCAGGTCACCTCCCCTTGAAAACACTTTCCCAGGTCAAATAAAACCAATAAACAAAACTTTTTGCCAATGACTTTCAACCTCAGAAACTGTGAGAAGGGAGAGTTCCTTTAAAATAGGGTTTTTTCTTCCATGTGTGAATTTAAGACAAATATTAATTACAGACTTATTCATACAAAACAGACTTGTTCATAACGTTATCACAGATCCGTTTATTATTTTTAAAAGAAAAGAAAACAATGAAGAATTTATAGTAAACAGGATATGATATAGAATGGAAAGTAAGAATTTACAAACAGAGATGGAACTGGCTCTAGCACATGAAGTCATGAATTTTAAATTAACTAACAACAGAAAACAAATTCACCTTCTCTGTGACAATTAGCTAACAATGGCCTTTTTATGTGATAAATATCAACCTACTAGTAAATGAATATTTATAGAAGAAATATTTCCAAAAGAAATTTCATGAGTAACAAACAGGTAAGATATCTTACTATAAAAATTGGACAGCATTCCAGCAGCCCGTCCCACCCCAAGTACTTCAAAATCCTAATAAATTTCTATCAGAATTTTATCCGTGTTTGCTTTGGCTGTTTAGAATTTTAGTTTCAGACAGAACTAGTTTAACAGCCAGATAACTAAGAAAAATGAAACCGCATACAGTGCTGAAATGGTTACTCTTCCTTCTTGCCAGTCATTTAGTTTTCCACTGCATGAGTAAAGACTGAGAGGAGGTAGAACATAGACATGGATTTAAGATGCCTGCCTTCAAGGCAGCTTGGGAACCACTTAAATCTCTTCAGATACTAATCTGAATGGTATTCAGTTCCAGTCTAGGTATCAAGTTTCGTTCTAGTCACATTTTCACCAAAACACACACTGGGGGAGCTTCCAGTGATGCCCTCCTGTATTTTCTTCTCAGTCAATATACCCTTGCCACACCACTTTAGAGCAGCTTTGACAACATTTCTGCTGAAATAGGTGCTGAATTAATACAATTAGCATTACTCATAAAGGGCTAACTTTTTTTCAGTCACTTGCAGATGACATGTGAGAGTAGAGTTTGAGGTATATGAGCTCAAGACAATATGAGGAAGTCCAAACTTTCACTTCCTCTGAGGGATGCCTCAGGCTCTGTTGAAATTCAAACTGACAACTGGCTCCATTATTGTGCATTAATCTGAGAATAATCAGTTTTTAAAACATCCTGTAAAGTGTTCAAAATAAGTCTATGGTTGCATTTGAATGAACAATGTATTTATTGGGACTTGATTAGTTTCTGTTAACCTTTAATGTGAGTTGCAGTTCTAGACAAAAGGGGGATCAGAGTACCCCCACACGGCATTCAGGTTCATTTACCTTCTGAACACTGAGGAATGTCACAGACTTCGTAGCGTACCTCTGGATTGCTTGTGAAACACCAGGGTCCCCCTTCTTCCCCTCGAGGATTGCGACAGTAGTTTTCCTGTAGGTCTTTACCCCGATAGCTCGAAGGCAAAAAGCTAGTTTTAAAATGATAATCATTACAGTATAAGAGCATGCAACTTATTTTTGACCAATTAATTTTCTAATTAGTTGTTATGTTTTTCCAAAATATTCTATCTCAGACATCCAAATATTTTTAGCTTGAATTCCCTCATTTCCATCCATTCTTAAAATACTTTAATTTTATTAACTTTCACCTAATTGAATATGGTAATGTTCAGCATCATTAAGAGTGCTCTGTCTCTGGGTTTGCTAAGAATCAATTTTCCCTAACTTAAATGACATTGTTTGAATCACAATTTCAAAGCTCCAATTCTAGCAAGTGATTGAGCAATGCCCCTTGTAAGAGAACGGAAGAAATATTGCAGTCAACCTTGAAATCTCACTATTACACTGCTTATCCAAGATAATTACTTGTTTATTGCTTTTCTTATGAAGAATAGTCCCCATTTTTTTCTGCACAATTGAGAAACAGACTGAAGTAACAAGAACAAAGAATCTAAAATTTAATTCAACATGGACTCAAATTTCAACTTTCTCTTACTCACTAGAGACTGTAGCAGGACATTTCATCTTTCTAAGCCTGTTAGCTTACCTGTTCATTGAATATAACCATAATTTATGGCAACTTAAACCTTCTATGGTTGTTTTGATTTCAGAGATGGCAGAATAATTGACACTAAGTTAATGTGATCTATCATCAGACACACTCCACTTGGTAGTCTTAATTTTGTCATAAAACAGAATTGCTTGTTTTTTTCAAAAATTCAAATGATTTTTACTATGCCCATGAAGTGGTACTCCAGGTTTAGTTAATAATAGTAGGCCACTGGTTGCAGAGACAGCAATATAGTGCGTTCACTTTAAATTTCACTTTTTTAATTTTTACTTATTTGCTTTTTTATTAATGACATATTATATTATTATTTTACATCCTTGTTTGTTTTTTCACAATATAGGATTTCCCCCCACAGATATGGGCACCATCAATTTCCCACCACCAAAGCCAGTAATTCCACTCCTATATAGCTGCTCAAAGAACACTTCAAATTTCTAATGCTCTACTTATAGTTTTGTTTGTAGCATAAAGTATTTCAAAACAATTTCAGAAAAGTCCAAAACCTTTTTACTCTTTTGTACTGCTTGTGGCATTGGCCTTAATGATAATACACTGATACAGCTATATTTATCACAAAAAATCGTAATAAGTAAGAAATATATACTTTTAGGTATTACTAGCAAATGCTTTTTGGAAAATCCAGTTGTGTTTCTCAATATTCAGTTCAATAATTTTTATAAAGTTTTATTTCTAATTTTACTGTTCTCTGAGTTCTAAATAGTAACTTAAAGTCCAGGGATTTTAGTCTCAGTATATATTCTCATTCAAATGTTTACCTTACCCACTGAAACTTATATTTTAAAAAATATAAATATACAAAATATTTATACATCTTAAATGTATAAATATAATAAATATACACAAAATAAATATACATCTTAAACACACATACATTAAGTATATCTAGTTGTAGAAAAGCTTTCAGCTCTGTGTGCGCGCACACACACACACACTCACACATACACACACACACACACACACACACGCCCTTTTCCAGAGGATGTGTAAGGCCAGAAAGAAGTGTGAGGAAGCAGTGGCTGAATCAGTCAATAGTTTAGTAGGGAAAATGCAATTCGAAAGGAATGGAAAAAAATATAAATCAAAACTAGATATGGCTAAAAGATGAATAAAGTTTTTCCCACTGGAATTAATAAAATGAAAAATGAAGAGAAAGGATGTACTGCTTTCCACAATTTTGTGTCAATTTACATGAACTTCCTCTTTAGGTCATGCAGCATAAAGAGCAGTCCTCATAATATCTTTTCCTTATTCCTTGGTACATACAACTTTTTAACCAAACTAACTAGTTTTCTTCTGGGTTCTGAAGTGTTCTGCCCGCTATTCTTTATTTTCTCATTCTTGACCAAAAGATGAAGCTTAACCTTACTCTTTTCACTTACATTTCATTTAATAAATGTTTATTAAAACCTATTATATGTAAACCCTATGTTTGTCAATAGGCTCTGTAATAAATTTTATTCACATTCATGCTAGCTTTAGTTCTTTGTTGTTAGCAAAGCTTTAAGAGAGATAAATGAAATAATAGTTACAATTGAGTAATACCCAAATATACTTCAAAATATAAATTTGATCTTCTTGCTTCTAGTCTCCTTTTCTTTTCTTTTAATATAAACTGTGTTCGTAGGAAACTTGATCTGTTCCATCATCTGCTTCATTAATGAATGCTGGGTGGCCAGTGAAGGATATAGATGTAGATATCAGGTCACCTGATTTTCTGGTTAAGCCTCTATACTAATTTCATCATCTATCATCATCTTCCCATTAAGTCACTTGTAAAATATTTCAATTTACGGAGTCAACAATAAATCACTCCTCTAGACAAAAACATATTTCTTTTTCCATCTTCCATAAAGTTAATCTTTAGTCAACAATTTAAAAGTGTGAAAATATCATGCAGATATTCCAATGAGATGGTATTTGATAGAAATTAAGTTTTGTTCCCCTTGAATATAAAAGAAAACAAAAAAAATGATTCGATTAATATACAAAATCCTTTCAGCCCTTAACCTCTATGTCACAAGAAAATGTTTTTTTGTAAAATAGCTGATTGGACCAAGAAGCCAGTTCCCAGGGAGATCTGTTTCATATTATTCCTCTAGCAGAGAATCACAATCATAGAGAATTTGGGCTGAAATAAAACCTCTACTGGGTGAATATAGTACACTCTTTAACTAGGGTAGAATTGAATTCAAAAGCTATTTCTTTGTTCATGAAAAACTTAGGCCTATTTAAATAAAGTGTTTTCTTCACTATGCAAGGAATGACCCCATACAAATCTTTGAGAGGAAAAAAAAACACATATTGTTTGGTTGTTGTATCATAAGGATAATACTATGTTTCAGAAGTATTCATGCATAACTGTAAATATCTGCTTTTGAAAAAAGCAGTAGTTTTCTCTTTTGGAAATACTGTAAAGCTGATCATCAGCCTGAATACTACCTAGCTGGAATTAGTTAGGACTAGAGCGACTAAATTACAGGTTTGATCCCAATGTGGAGCGACTAATTATTTTTCTGTATATGTTGTCCAATTAACTAGCTTCTGTTTACTGAAGTAAAATCACCTTGTGCAATTTTGCTTTACAAAATTAATTAAATGTGGGGAAAAAAAGTGAATTCAACAAGGCAAAGTAATCACCACTATTGCAAAAACAAGTCACAGCATGTGCTCTACTGATTGGCCAAGTGTTTCATGCCCTTGGGTTTTTAAAAGCATGGTTATAGAGTGCCTCTAGCTAGACTTAGATTTTGGCCGTAACATTTTCCAGTTTAGAGTTGTGCATGACCTTGGAAAGTTACTAAGGCTCATTGTGCCCCAGTTTTACCACATATAAAATTGAACTAAAAATCTACCCACTATGTGGTTCTTGGGAGGATTAAATGTGTGGTACTGGTAAACTACTCAAAAAGGCACTTGGTATATGGTAAACTAAATCTTCTAATTCATTTAATAACCTCAGGGAGGTTTTCAAAACTATTTTAGCTCCTCTTTACACTTATTTGTGAAATAAGTCTTGAAAAACTATGGCTATATTTAGCTCTTTAGTGGGTATTAGATATCTATGTTTGTCCTCCACAATGATTAAAACTCAGACTAATGAGCTGATGGATATTATGTTTACTTGTCTTTAAATAGAATTCATCTGTTATAATGAGCATGCATCTTCTCTTAAGGGTAGATATTTAATTTCCAAGAAGTAAGAAGTTTTCTTTAGTCATTAGGCAATAGGTGAAATGGGAAAGATGGTCAATCTGAGGGATGAATTTTTAGCAATGGTTCTAAGTTTTTGCTGTACTTTGGGGAGCTTAAAAAATACCAATGCCTGGGTTTCCCAGTCAAGAAATTTAATTGACCTGTAATGATACCTGATTTTTGGAATGTGTTAAAAACTCATAGGGGCTAATTTTATTGTGCAGCCAAGGTTGAAAACCACCACAGTTAAAGAACATTTCTGACTTAGTCAACCTCTCCATTCTGACTGTGTAGTGCTATACCTTCTCGAATGCAGAGAGGGGAAAATTGTTTTTTTTTTTAATTACATTTCCATTATTGTTCACAAACATCAATATCTATACATTGAGGATTTGAAGTAAAACAATGTTAGTAGACTACATGTGAATGATAAATTTATTAATCTTTGGCTACATCAATTGTGAATTCAAATGAATTCATCAAAGTTAACTGGGTCATAGAACTGTAGGATTAGCCTGAAGGACTAAAGTGAAATGGCTAACATGTATACAAAAAGAGATGCACTATCCTCTTTTTTTCATGCTGTCCTTACCTGTGTTCATGTGGTATCATGGAACTCCAAGGTTGGCATTTGATGCCACTCTTAGTGATAGATACTGTTCCCTTGTAGCTGCCTCCTTTACCAATGATGCAGTTTCTAATGTAGTCTATTGGAAGAAAACAGAGAAAAGATTTTTAACTGTGTACTAAATAAAGGGAAAATTAAAATAAAGTTACACTCAAATCTTTATGTAGTTGATACTTGTAAACTCTCTCAACTAATAATTTCAAATTTCTTTCCTTGCCTAGTAGAAGCCTAAAGCTTTTGCTGATATTTTCAATATAATACATTTCAGAGTAATCAGAAAAAAACTATTGAAAGACTTTAATTTTGTGAGCAAATAACTACATAACTGCAGAGATTAGTCTATGTTCTTAACATAGATTAGTCTGTATAGTCAGCTAGTCAAGCAAATTTAATTTGGCAGAAATGATTAACTCCAATATACAGACCATTTTAAGAAAATATTGAAAAGTGATTTGTAAAACCTATAATGATTTCAGAGAGTTTATTGAGATGATAAGGTTAACTAATTTGTCCTTATCTCAAGAAAATTGTGTGGATTTTGTGTGTGTATATATATGTGATAATCACATTAAGGTAATTAATGATTCCAATATTCTTACTAATATTCCATCAGCTAAATTACAGGGCAACCAAATTGCAAAACATTGTGCATTCCTATAAATAATAGTACATGCAGCTGTTATCAATGATAATAAAAATGATCTTATCATAGATTGTGAATTGTGTTTTAGAACATGTGGAATTGTTAGAATGTATAGAGATTATCTTATTTTCTACCATTAATTAATTTTAATTAAATACCTACTCTCTTAACAAGGAAACCTCTGTGTACATTACCCAATACCAAATCCAGTCAGATACATTCAAGAAAATATTACAACTGAAACATTATTATTGTAAGTATAATACATAATTATTATTTTGTGCGAAAGATTTAGTATGTAAAATTCATATTTATTCTTAAATTATTTCATTGATATAACTTTTCCATGGACAAAGTAAATACAATGTCAGACTTCTAAATCAAACAAATCAATTTTATTTTTAAAGATTTTCTGAAAGTATATGATTAGAAATGCATTAAACTAATCAACTAATTTTTCAAAATCTCCACATTTTGTTTTCATCAACAGACACCACTATAACTAGTTCTCAAAGTTGTTAAAATTTAAAATCCTATAGTAGGTTCCAAATATGCTGTAATGTAAGATGTCTTAAACTAATAATGTAAGGTGGCGCTTTCTAAAAGTAACATGGAGAATACCAGTTGTAGGAGACAGTCTTAGAAAAAAAAACTAAAAGGGAGAAAGTCATCTAATTATGGTATATTTGGGAAATGCTATCTTTATTCTAAATTATAATAGTAAAAATAGCCAAGTGTACTAGTGTCATCTATTATAATGGATGGATTGCCTGCAAAATAGAGCCAGTATAAAATAGAAAAATCATGAGCACTTTAGCAGCAAATTACATATATTCTATACTTTACAAATTATGAAATACTGAGGAAGAAATCAGTTACCTTTATTTTCATATAGGTCAAATTCATGGCCAAACTCTTTTTTTACTCCACTTGACATGCTATTGAAAGGGAACCAGAGGCATCGTTTTCTTGTTTTATCAAAAACAAAGGCCCTGAAAAAAATGTCTGAATGAAAAGAAGGAATACTACTATTTATACAGTTCTTAAAAAATGGGCACATGGTTTAACCAAGGAGGATGATATAAAAACAGTACATTATTGCATATATCTAACATGAGTGATATTTGCACCTATCATTTTGATGTCCAAATGAGAAAGAATAAAATTAAGGTATTATAGCTATAAATTTAAACGTCAGATCAAATACTTGAAATGTTTACATGTTATGCTCAATGACTTCTAGAAAATTGAGGACTTCAAAAAGAAAATCAGTATGTAACACAACCTTTTTTTGTAATCACACAGAAAGATATCTATATAGAACTCAATATATTTGAAATATCATGATTAATTTCCAAAGTACATTCTAGAATGATAATCACAAAGACAAATCATCAGCCCAGGAGATCACCTAAGAAATAGGAATCTAAAAGCAAATGCTTGGAAAATTTTGTACATAATAGCCTTTCTTGGTGACTTGTAAAACTTTGAAGTTTATCGAAAGCTACAAAATCTGCTATAAGATAACTGTTTACTTAAGCCAATGTTTTCAAAATAGTTTGTTTTCATAAGCATTTTAAAATTAAAAAGACTACCAATATCATAGAAATATGCTTTTGGTATGTCATCCTGAAGAAAAGTACTAAAATGGGTTACTTCTACAATTACCATTCCTATAGTTAAGTATTATATTGACTTTCGTTGTTTACTCAAAAAATCTTTCTAAAACAGAATGATAAATATAAAAATCCATTAACTGGGAATAGTAAAATACTTGGTGAAATTCTCAACATTAAATGTTTTTTAGTTAATTTTTTTAATGAGGTAACATGTAAAATTACATATATAAATAGTTATATGATTTGGAATAATAGATTCATACATCATGCCCACCACTAGGGCACCCTTAGTCCTTTACCATATGGATCTCCTGATCTCTTTTTCACACCCCTTTCCTTCCTCTCTTCTAGAAGCCTCAATTCTGTAATCATATTTCTTGGGTTTGTTTTGGTTTCCTTTTGTCAGTTCCTTTGTTTTGTTTCTCTGTATTCCACATGAATGAAATCATTTGATATTTTTCTTTCTCCTTCCGACTTATTTCAGTGAGCATAATCCTATATAGTTCTATGTTTTACCAAATGCCAACAGTATACCTTCTGAGAAAGAAACATTTCTCCCCATGCTCACTGAATCACAGATGCTTTCCTAAAGTTTTGTTCGTGTTTTCCAAGAGCTTTCACATATTTGCCTTTTTTTCCCAATGGTTCCAAAAATCATATAAGTTTCTAAAAAGATCCTTTATTTCATTTCAGAGTATAATAGTATGTCCATTCAATTATGAATAGCTAATGTATTCAGTGATTCCAAACATGTTTGTGTATTCATATATGGGGAAGATGAATAAAGATGGTGATACCATTTCTGGGCAGAAGAAGGTTGGCTGTATACAGAGTATTATCACATATGCTTTTCTGCATACATTTTCATATATTTGGAGATCAAAATTAACAATCAGAATATGTAGAAAAGTAAGAAACCTCATTCATATAGTGTATGTGAAGATTTATTAATCAAATCTATTCTCTGACACAGCAAGTCATTCTAGTGTCTCCAAAAGAAAAAAAAAAAAAAAAGAGAGTTCTCCTTCCCCACACCAATTATAAGCTAATGAATGTCAAAATTGAGAGTTAGCAATATTTTCCTCATTAATGTATCCTGGAGGGTTATATTTTCAGATTCAATGTTCAGAAATCAAGAATGAGACATGGTTCTCCCAGTCCCTTTGCCCTGTTCTTTCAACCCTCAGGGGAAAATTCAGCAAATCCAAGTCTTCAGTTGCCAAAGGACATCTCCAAAATTCTACATAGTTGAAATGTGGATTGAGAATAGTTTTCTCTAATTTATTTTTAACAATCTCAAGACGTTTATAGGAAAGTTAGGGAATGAAACAGAGTTATCATAGGACTGTACATGCAAAGTCAATTCCCCATCTCCTTTGCCAGGAAACATCCCTCTGAAAGTTGCAGTTTGGCTATAAAAATACTTCCAAAAGAGCTGTAACTTAATAGAAAGGAGATGGTCCCTCCTCCCTTTAAATCTGTTGAAGATCTCTGACATGTTCTTTCTCCTCAGGCCCATAGCATTAATTTCTCTGAGAAGGCAGGGTGAAATTGGGATCTCTTGTTACTGTATTAATAAAATCTGTGTTCACATCATATGTCACTACTCATATGTAATAGGGTAGAATTCAAAATTTATAGAATGTCATATACAATCCTATACAAAATGTGATGAAATGGGAACATAACAGTAGAAAGTGAGGGAGGAAAAAGTATATAAACATGTTTATGAAAGAGAAAAAGCACATTCTCCTGACAGCTTAGAAAATTGTCACCTTCATGGCCTAAAACTCCAAGTTTTAACCTCTAGGATCATTGGCAAAGTAGCAAGGGATTTTTCTCTGTGAGGGTATAGGTAATTTCAAAGAAAAGAAAACTCTCTATTTGATTCCCTCCATGCATCTTGAATAACTCCATAGTTTTTCACCTAAAACTTCATCATCACTAACTCCTAACTTCTTTTAAATAGTTTCTGCTGCTGACACAAATCCCTCTAGTTTTTTATCTAATTCTCTCAACACCTTTTTATTTCAATCCCTGAAGACAAAGATGTAAGTTTTGCAGTGAACTTTGGCTGTTGCCCAACTTATATTCTGAAAATCCCTCTACTCCTCTTGCAAAAAAGGAAAATGTTTGAATGGAATATTTTTAAATATTAGAGATAAAAGCCAACCTAATGGAACTTTAGTTCCTGAAGTTCACTTTTTTAGAAGATGAGAAAACATAAATTCTATGACCAAAGTCACTGTTAATTCTAAAAAAGTCAGTTTTTGAATTTTCTCTTACTCATATTTCCATCAGCTGAGATCTAATTCCTTTGTTGTAATTAACTAAAATCAAGCTTATTATTTTAAGAGAAAGTTACATTGAATAAAAAATAAAAAAATGATGATAATAAGTACATATGCTGTATAGGAAAATGTTTCTAAGAACAAAATGAAGCAACTTACTTGCAAGTAAATGGAAGTCCTTTATTCCTAATACATCTATTGGCACACAGGTCTGCAGTATTCATTTTTTTTGTTTTTATCTTCAGTGATGGATCTTCTTTAATTAGAGTAGTCTTTGCTGACTTTTTGAATTCATGAAGTGTGTTTCTTCTTTTCTTTTGTCCTTCTAATAATAATAATAATATTCATGATACTAAAACATGGCAGAACACTTTTGAGGCTAATATACAATGTCCTTAAGGATCATCTACAAAAGATTCAGTATCTGAAAAGACACTAGACCTCTAGGAGTTGAGGACACAGTAAAGTAGGGAATGATACTCTTAAACAGTTAAGAACAAGAGAGGAAATCAGGTAAGAATAAATAACTTCTCAGTAAGTGAGCATAATCACTCATGTACATTATTTCAAATGAAGGATGCTTTTAAAAAATAGGAGAAAGTTCACACTAAAGCAATAAATAACATGATAATCCTCCAAACAGTGAGGAAGCAAGTATCAGAGCATATCATATCATCATTTATAATTAAATTGTTCGTTTCTTTCTAAAATTGGTCTTCCTGTAATTTATTAAATTAATTGGATAAGCCAAGTCAATGACAGGTAAGAAGCTTTTCACTAAAAATTAAGCAATGGATAAATTCTGATTTACTCTTTAAAGTGTTTCAAACTATTCATATTTTAGCCCTTCTCATTTCCTATATAAATGTTTTCTGTGCTTTGGGGCACTATTTCTTAGTATCATGAACTATTTGTCTTGAAGCCAAGCCAAATGCTGTAAATCAAATGTATGTAAAGCATCTTCCTTTAATGTAACAATATCATTTTTCTTCAGGAAAGTATTCTACAAAGCTCCTAGATAGCATGAAGTGTCTTATTCAAAAATTAAAAAGCTGAAGTAAAACATTCCCAAAGGTTTGATCTGGATAACTTTAAAGTATCAAGAATTTCCTATTTTATTCTCAATCTTTCCAAAAGTTACCCAGTTTGTAAAGATGATCACCAGCTTAACAATGAGGATCAAAATGTCTAAGAGATTTCAGCTATTGTATAATAAGGATGGCCAAAATTGTACCCTCACTGTGCCTGGCAATTCTTTTGAACATCCTTATAACAAAAGCAGTAATAACATATTCATTTTTAAGATTAAGAAACCAAGACAGCTTCAGAATTCCTATGCTTAAATACTTGTGGTGCCATCTTTTTCTAAGAATTCCCAAGAAAGTATGTGGATATATAGTTTATAAATATTTTCCCCCAAATTTTTTTAAAGTTATCAGTAATAACTGATGGTAGAATAGGAAATGAATTCCTGGTGAGATTGTCAGAAAAGATGGTGAAATTTTTGTGCAAAACATTTAGAAATGTGACCACCAGAGTTTGTCTACCAAGACCAATTACCAAGAATGGCATCATACACTAAGCTACCAGCAACAAACTGGCTCCAGTTGGTTTATTAAACATGCAGATGCTACTCATTAATGTTGACCTTAGCTTGCACTCCACAATAAATAAGAGAAAATATAAAGTCCTCTAAATTTCTGGTCCTCTGTACAACTCCAGAACACAATCTCAAAAAAAAAAAAAAAAACCTGGTACTAATTCATATAGTAATGCTTTCATTTTTTATTTACTTATTTTATTTTGTCCCAGAAGATGGAATGGATGCAGTACAACAGATATACTTTAAATGACACTTTATTATAGTTATTAAATCAACCAAATAATTTATCAGCATGTTATTTATTGAGTGTGAACCAAATGCCTTACATAATATTGGCAAACAGATGGTAATTCTGGCATTCTTACTGACTTGCCAAATGACTTTGTTTACCTGAAATGATAGTATTCCAATTACTCAATTTACAGAATGAAAGTTACCTTATATGTGAACTAAAAAGTTTTTAAAACTAAAATCACAAATATTTGTAGATCAATTTGGATAAAAATGTTATGAATATGCAAAATTTTGTTTCTGAAATTTTATCATTTAATTTCTAGCTTAAGAGAAGAAGCTATCACTCTCCCAATCAAAGAAGAGGTATAATTCTTTTCAAGCTTTGATTTCTGCCATAGACCCATGTTAATGAAGATGAGATTCTCCATTAAAAGTTTATCCTTCTTTTGACTTTAGTGCACTCTTTCTAAGGGAATGTAAGATGCTATAATTATCCAGCATTATAGGTTGGAATATTTCTTAGGAACAAATAGGAGTTCATTGATGCAGAAAATCTATTACAAAACAACTACCTGCCAAAATAGAATTATGTGTGTGTGATTGTGTGTGCATGCAGGTGGGTGTATTTCTCAAATAAATTTTATTAATTAAAAATATAGAATTAAAAATGACCTGATATGTATTATAAATGACTAAGTGTGAGAGAAGATCATCAAACCAAATTTTAATGATAAATCACAAGCATTAAATTCCAATATGCGTTTTACTAATTATCAGATAAAGTAAAACCCCTGGACAATGCTCTGGTTTCTTTTCTCAAACTGCTATGATCTAAACACAAGCATTGGAGAATATTGTAGAGGAAAGAGGTCTTTATGGGATTGTTGTTCTTGTATAGTTCTACAGATCTTCGGTTGTTCTATTGAGATGTGTTAATGTGTTATTGTACCTCATAAAAACAGTGCACTCTTTGCTGTTAAATTTTTCCATCGTTATATGTCATATAAAAAGCAAAAAGCATACTGGAAAGCAAATAAATGTATGATTTCTTACTAGATAATACATAGGAGTAAAAAGCTTGTCTGGGGCTACAAAGATAATCATAAGCAAAGGGAACCAGAGATAGGATTCCCTTTTCACTATTTCTCATGACTTGGAAGCTTTGCCTTATATTCAGTCATTTCTACTAGCTCAATAACTACTCAAAATGTTCAAGCTAGTTGTATATCATATAATCCACACATTTATCAAATTAATTGCAAATTACTTCCATCTTCAGTAGAAGAAAAATTCAAAACAGAAGTCATTCAAAACAGCATCTGAAAATAAAATTCCTTTGCTGAAAATAGCTACAACTTTCTCTTCCATATGTATTAACAACTGATGTTTGTTTTACTGAAAACAGTAAAAAGAGAAGCTTAATTTGGGAAAAAACTCAAAAATATCTTTGGATCAGATTTTTGTCTACTATTTTTTGTGCGTGACTGTTAGTTGAAGTTTATAAACACAATATTGAAATGAAGTCAAAGGGTGAGAGATCACTGCAACTTTGTCATGCTTTCCTGTACTTTAAATTAAAACTCTTTTTCCCTTTCTTCCAGTTTGGGAAAACATTCTGGAAGCTATATATGCTGTATAATTCCTGAAGAATCTTAAGTCCCTATTTGAGAAAGAAAATCATTTGGATTTTAGTGAAAACCTACCAACAGAAAGTAGGGTCAAATGTATCAAGGTGCTTGAAGTAAGACACATTTCTCCCTCTAGTCTCCTGGCCTCACACTCATTTCTCTCAGTACCTCATATATTTTCTTCTCTGTATGGACTAACCATTGACTTCAAAGGAAAAAATCATGCAAGGGAAGGATTTGCAGGGTGTGGAAAGAAGCAGGAATCTGGCTCCACATACTCTGAGAAACCTACCCACATGATTAGTGATTAACAGCTTGAAGTGACAAGATGTTAAGATGAAAGTATACAAATAATTAATGGAAAGGGATGGTTGTGACTAGAGATTTTTAAACCTCCCAACGACAAGAATTATAAATACAGCCCCAGATCTTTATTGCTATTATCTGGGACTTGAATTCTACAAATGGACAATCCTCTCCTCTTCTTTAAAGAAGGCAGCAATACCACAAATAAAGATGTCAAGAAGAAAGGGAACCTGTCAGATTTAAATCAAACGTTGGTATTTAAGAAGTAGCTTCTCAAATATCCAAAGAGATTTACAAAATGAAGTGATACTCAGTGTGAGATAAGGGGCCTCCCCAGATATCGCTCTCCTCTGCTTCCCACTTCCTTGTCAAAATTTCATTGCTATAGAAGGCTCCACCTGGTATGATTCTTCACTGCCTGTTTCTGCCTAGAACTCTCCCTCCACACAGCAATCAACACAGCCACACTACGGTCCAAAATCATTCATGTATTTTGTCAACTCAAAAGTTTTCAGCAGCTGCCCATAACATTCAAAGAGAGAGCACAGGGTTTAGCATGACATTCAAGCTCATGTGTGTTACCTTATCTTACTTTTTGTAGCACAGACCAAACTCCTGGCCTACAAAAACTCAGTACCCTAGCCCCACAGGTAACCTGACCTTTCTGATACTTTCTCACCTCTATATCTTTGGAGGCTTTGTGTTCCCCTGACTTAGTACTCACCTTTCTCCTACCCATCTTTTCATCCTCAACTTGGGTACCAGGTACTCCCTAAATCTGGTTTGCTCTTTAAACTAGAAATGAACTCTCAACCATAGTGTAAGAGTATTTTTAATTCAGGTGTTGTGTTGTTGTTGTTGTTTTATGTTACTTGGCAATGGATTTTTTAAGGAAAGTTTCAGTTTATTTCACAACTGCTGCTTCAGTTTAACTAAAAGGAAAAAAAATCACTGCATATTTAATTCACATAGCTTTCAGTGGGAATCTAAGCTCTATTTCTTAAATAAAATAGTAAGATAATTAAGGTCTTTAACACCAGTGTTCTCATGCAAGGTAAATGCAATAATGCCAATTTTATTAGAATGAAAGAGGCTTTATTTTTAGAATTAGATCTATAATAGTTGCTCAATAAATAGATTTCTTTCTCATTTGTTTATGTTTACATCTCCCACAGGCTTCAGGATGTTAGTTGTTCATTTAATTGTTCATTGCTCAGAGGTATTTCGATGTTTGTTTTCAGTGTAGGTGGGAATGGATACAGGATAATTTCATGTAGACCAAGTCCTATAGGGATGTCTTGGGTTCTCTATATTGATTATTCTTTAAGAAAGTTTTCCATAGAGTATCTGCATAATAAATTCTACTCATAACTGGTTATCACCTTATTATAGTATCTACCTTTTTTCTAGTATTTTGTTATTTTACAGCATATACAAATATAGACTCACTATACATATCAAAAAGTATAATCAAAGCAAGTAACAGCAAAAACCTAAATATTCATGTTACATAATATAAAAAAAAAGAACAAACTTTCCTTAGATGTCCTAAGAGAGTTATCTATCCATGTTTTCCATTTTGAAGTATGTTATTAAAAAAAAAAAACTATCCACATAAACTTGTCACCCAAAAAAAGACAGACCCCTTTTTGATGATAATTTTAGCATTATCCACTTCAGGAATTATCCACAACATATCCATAATTCCCAATTGACCTCTCATTGCCTGCCAGCACACTCTTGGGCTGCATTCTCCCTATACTCAGGAAAAGCAGTCATTTCAACATTAGCCAAAGTGAAATATAATTACAAATGTATATCTCCTGCCAAAACTTCGCAGTGCATGCCAAAAACAAATAGACATTGTCTATAGTTGATCTACTGTTTGGGTTTTCCACACTGTGTTCCCCTTGCATTAGCACAGATGATTTCAGGTAACCATATTCTACTTTAGACTATCAACATTTTAATATTTAAAAATGAAAGTCCTCAAAATACTAGCCATGATTTCAGTTTATGCTGAAAATTCCCTGTACCAGCAATGTCTTCTAAAAATCCATTTTAACATGTACCTCTCAAGCACAATAGCCTGCTTGATTTGAATTAACTCCTTTTGTTATCTCTTCAGATATCTTTACTAAATATTTTCAAATTGACTCTTCTCATATAGTGTTGTTTTCCAGAAGGGCAACTTTACAAAACAGAAGACTGCAAGGTAGATTCTATGATTTTTCTTGTCAGTTAGTAAAATGTTGAGGATTTTCAGCTCTTGTATTCCATCAGAAACTAGATCAGAGGGCTGATGAATTTCATCTCTCAAAATATCTAACCAGTTCTCAGTTTATATTGCAAAAAGGTCATGTCCACCATCTGGGCATCTGTTCCATTCTTTCAACCCCTGTGCCCACACATGATGTTCACTCTCTTCTCCCATTGGCATCCCAGCCACTACAATGATAATACAGCCAAATACAGATGTTTCCTCTTGTCCTGATAATAATAGAAAACTTCTCAAAGCAGCAAATAAAATCTCTAAACTTCCAAGCAATATGAATACCCAAGTAACTCCTTCCTAATCCATAAATGCAGGGAGGAAATTTGGAGCCTGAGAAGAGCAGTTCTGCAGCTTTAATAAAGTCACCCAGTTTTTGCCTCCCTAGCACTGCAGTTTCAAAAGGGCAGGCGTGCATACCCAGGCAGCATGAGTCTTTTGAAGAAAGACTTTCTCCTTCATTTTTATAACATGCATATGCACAGTTTAATCTGCCTTCTCCAAATGAAAACCTGTATAACATCATAACTTGACCCTGAATGTTAACTGACTGATGTGGGATAGTAGATTGTCATGGAAAATTGTCCTCTAGAAAAAAATGAGTCCCTGCAATACTGACCATCATTCTTCCCTCTTCAGACCATCCCCTCTGTTCAGCTCTAAACTTGTCCAAACCAGCAAAGTTCCAGGCAGTGTTTCGCACTTCAATCCTCTCCCGTAGTCTACAACTATTAAGCTAAGGGAGACTGTGGCTGGGGGGGTGAGGCAGGGCGGCACAGACAAACTCAGAGGATGTTTATTATCTTTTAAAATGTTTTCCAAATAGGAAAAGTATGTCGAAAGAAAACACATTGAGAGATTTAAACAACCCATACCATACACTGATTTAAGAAAGGATGCTGAGAATAGGGCAAAGGAAAAGTATTAGAAAAGGGAGAGGTTAGCAAGAAAAAGTTAAAATAACAATCATAATGAAGAAAAAAACTAACCTGCATAGGGAATGGCGATGGGGAGCAGGAGGAGATGTAGGAGGACATGCTGCAGCAGCAGGACTGGCAGAAGTTTGGTCACCCACATGGTGCTGCTGGATGTGCTGGCGGATCCCACTGCAGATGCCTGGGTGAAAGAATCCTGTTTCTACTCAGAGCCTAAAGAGCCAGCCGTCTCTGAGCTGCTTTTTATTGCGATGAGCTAAGTTTGTTGTGTGATTAACTGGAAAGATCTAGGTCTGAACTCCCTCTTACGGTAAGAAACTGTTTAACAGCCCTCCACTCTCTCATCCACCCCCTCCTTTGCTCACTATCCACCCTCCCCACAACACCAAACAGATCCCAGCTCCCCTCCCCCCCCCTTTAGGAAAGAAACTTACAAAGAAAAAGGTCACCTGGCCTGAGGCCAGCGTCAATTTGGAAGCTGGAGCTCCAGATCCCTGTGGCTCCTATCTGAGTAGGGAAGGGAGGAGCAAGGCTCAGTCCAATAGCTAAATCAAGGCACAGGCAGAGGACCAATTCGCTAAATTCAAACAAGAAAATACATGTGTTTACATATCTATTTAGGAAAAGAGGAAGGGGAAGCAGCATAAGAGAAAGCAAAGAGCTGTCTTTCAGTCAAATGTGCCTTAGCAACTAATCTGCAGAATGTCACTGCTAGAGCACCCTGGGATTACAAACTCTGTCACAGGTTCCCTAAGCTGTTACAGGACCCAGAGGAGGGAGGCAGGTGAGGGGGTGGGGCGTGGGCAGGTCTGGCTCAGGTTAGGTAAGAAAAGTGTGAAGTGTTGTGGGGTAAAAATAAATGATCCTGCAAAACAAAAGTACCCACATGTCAGGTGGGAAAAGTGCCCCTGTGCCCAGGGCTCAGAACAGGCAGCTCTTTTCAGAAGCTGTGCTAAACTCCCCGGCCATCACAAATGTAATCCAAATGCATAAAATAAACTGTCTGGTTTGGATCCTTGCATAAAAGAAGCTGTCTGATTTGGATCCTTTGATAAAAAATGGTCTTGATCTTTCTTAAAATGTCTAGGAGATTGAGATTATCCACTGGCTCTCTCTCTGGAAACAAATGTAACATGAAATAGATTCTCATCCCCTCACCCCCCTTGTATAATGTGTGTACTTTCTAAGACTAACCGTCACTGGAAATCTCTCTCAAACTGCTTTAATTTATGAATAATGAACGTGTCTCTCTTCTCCAACTTCAATCCCTCATTCACCAGCCTCCCAAATCTAAATGGAGAGATGAAAAGCTTGCTTGAGGACTGGGGAGATTCATGTCTATTAAATCTTTATGAGATCATAGCCCAGACCTCTCATTTAATTCAGATAATTTGTCTTTGCTCCTCTAAGTGATACTCTGATTTCTTTAGGCAAGAGCTTGCTATATTTATAATGAACTTTGGAAGACAGTTGCCCTGCATGTTTTTGAGATGGAGACAAGTAGGAATCAGCATCTTAGCCCACAGAGGAAAAGAGAGTGGGCAGACTGCGGGAATGCCATGGAGCATGACCACCTGCACAGAAGTGGTGTGTGCAAAATTCAAGCCTTCCCACAACAGCCCACCCTCCAAGTAAGGTTCTCATTCCTCCTCTTCCTCCTGCTCCACCCACCCAAATTCCAGAAAAATAAAAACAATTCTGATAGGTCCTTAAGATTATGGGATAGCTAGAGAAATAAGAGAGTAGCTACTTTGCAGGAATCTATATTATCGTTACTATTGTTAATCCTTTTTTTTGATCATTTCCTCCTTTTAAAAACAAAGCCAACATTGCTTATAATCATTTATAATCAGCATCTCCCTAGCGTTCCAAGTGCCTGTTTTACTTCCCATGCTACTTTTTGAAAAATCTCAATTTCAGCCTATTCCTGACCATGATCCTGACTTGCTCTCCAGCATCTTTTGTGCCTTATTAGGGATTCAGATTCCATCTAAAGAAGCTAGATTCTCTTTAAGTAAATTATTGTAGGTAAACAATAACAGAGATCAGTCTTCTCTTTGTTCTCTCTCAATGTAGAATAGGGTTGTAAACGCAATCACAATTATTATTATTATTATTAAGGATTTAGGGTAAAAATCTATCCTGGATAAGGTATTAGGTATTAGGTATTAGGTATAAGGTATTAGGACACCATAAGGAAAATGAATAAACTGAATAGGTTGCATTTTTGCTCTGACATTAAATACAATAAATGAACATTTAGGATTATATATTTATATTTCTCTTGTGACAAGTTATTTGGTTTGCATTAAAATGATAGCTAATATGCACTGTTTTCAGAGCCACTCTTCAAAAATAGTCTTATTTAATCCTAAAGATAAATGTATTGACAATAATTATTATAATTCCCATTTAGTAATTGAGGAAGCAAGTAAATTATTTCTATTCTTAAGTAACATCTCAAAGGAATAAAGGCCCAGGTGTGAGATTCCAGCATAGTTGGTCACACCCCCAGCATGTAGTAAATTGCTATCAGCCCCATGAGAAGACCATCTGTCATTTATCCAAGATTATAAACACCAAAATTTGCCTAAGATTAAACATAGGATATGCTCAATGATAATTTACAAAATAAACCAAGATGTCACAAAATCTCCCTAAACTGTAATGAAAGGCATAGATGAAATAAATTATTAAATGTGCTATTATTTGAAATTATCTTGATAACATGTTTTCTCATAGTATCACTGTTCTTTCTCAGTCATGGTAAAGATGTTTTCTCCAGCCTCTGCTAAATATCTACATATAATTTCGGTGTTTGTTAAACTGTATAGACTTCCCCCCTACTAAAAAAATGGGCCTATTTTTTTATTAAACCAACAAAATCTTGTAAATAGAACACGTTTAATACTACAGTTTGTGTAAGTACTTCAATATGGGGTGATGCTCATTGCCTATATAATATCATTTTAAATCTATTTTAAAATTGATGTCTCTAGTATCCCATGTAAAGTAGTTGGATTAAATAGAAAAATGTATATTATTGTACTTTTGAAGACGCTGCACTTGCTCTCAAAGAAATTTTTTTGTCTTCAAAAGTTCCATATTTCTCAAAAACAAGTGATGTTTGCATATTCATATACTGGGAAGAAACTAATGTGACTTAGTGGTCTACAGGTCACTAACAAGTTCTGTGTTCTTGGACTAATAATGTCATTCATTGAGTGCCAGACATACAGTGATGCCATTCTATCTCTTGCTACTTCTGCAAACTCGCGGTTTAGTCATACACCTGGATCCCAGCTGTGACATGTACTAAATGTGTTACTAATTGAGAAATTTAACTAATTCTCTGTGCCTCGGTTTCCCTACCACTAAAATGAGACACTATTTACCAGGTACTGTGCTAAACATTTCAAAAGTATTATCTCAGTACCCCCCACAAAAAAAAAAAATAGAGGTAGGTATGTATAATTACTGCTGCTGATTCATAGATTAAAAAAATAGAGATCTAGAGATAAATAACTCCCTTTTGATTAATTTGTCAATAAAGTTTGATTCTAAAACACAACTGTCCATGTTTCAAGTCACTACCATCAAATACTACTATACATTGACAGAGATCCAGATTGAAAGATTTCCAATATTCATTCAGCTGTGAAATTTGATTATTCTACTTTTATGAATTTTGCAGTAGTCACTATAGTTTTATACAATTCTTACTTTGCACTTCTAAGAAATCTTTGTACTCCGTATAATCTTTGATATAGCTTATATTTTCCATGCAACCAGTACTCATTCCTTTTCTCTTTGTTGGTTATACTTTATAAAGGGTAATTTTTTATCTATAGGCCTCATCACTGAGTAATTTGTGCTGTTATGAATGTAGAAAATATTACAAAATTAATTGCAATTTATATTAATTTCCTCAGATAATACAGCTCATTTCTGGTCATATGAACAAAATATCAGTAAACAAACTGGTCTGCCTTAACTAGTATCCCTGGTATCCAAGATGCTATTGTCTGAATGTCTGTTTTCCCCCAAATTCCAGTGTTAGAAATCTAACGCCAAAAGATGATAAGATAGGAAGGCAAGGAGTTTAAATAGGGGTTAGTGCTTTGTCCTGGGAGCAGAGTTGTGGGATTAGTGCTATTATAAAAGAGCCTCTGGAAGGTTCCATGCCCTTTACAGCATGCAAAGACATGGCAAGAAGCTGTCTCTGAAGCAGAAAACGGGCCCTGACTAAACACTTGACCAGCTGGCACCCTGGGCTCAGTCTGTAGTATTTTGTTGTTACAGCCATTTAAATGAGCTAAGGCATATGTGTCTGTAACAGAAACTTGTAATATTGAAGGAATATATATTCTAGGGATGGGATAGAGCTATTGGGTAATTGCTTTTCAGAAAATAACTGAACTGCTTTTCAGAAAAAAATCTGAACCACTGATAAAACTTTGGATCAAATAGATAACATTTTTAAATGTATGAAGCAGAATGAGAAAATAATATGATACAAACAGGCATGATGCATATTTATTTGAAAATTTGTTTAATTTTTTGTGAGGCAATGACCACACGGAAACCTAGACCTATGCTGTCCAGTATGATAACCACAAGCCACGCATGGCTATGTAAATCAAAATTAATTAAAATTAAAATTAAATAAAATTAAAACTACATGTTTAAAGTTGTGCTAGCCATGTTTCAAGTACTCAATAGCCAAATATGTGTGTCTGGTGCCTTCTATGATGGACAATGCAGCTGTAGAATATCATCACTGAAAGTTCTATTAGATAATATTGATCTAGATCTAGTCTAGATCTATCTAAATGTGATTATGGGTTCAACACAAGGGGTAGAGCAAGACAATTATTGTGAAAGATGCAATAAAAAGAAGAAACCAAAAAATGTGTATGTTGGTAACACTTAGATTGAAATCCCCCACTCTTAGTATTTTACATAATTTGATCAAGGATACAGAACTTCAATTACTTTGTCATTTGAACATAAGTAACTGACAGAAAGCAGTTTATTGCTTGGAGCACATATCAGGCACCACTATAGATACAAGCCCAGAAAAATTAGTCTTGAGAAAAGGTTTCCAAATAGCAATTTTTAACAAAACACCTGTCTACTGAGGAATGTGGTATATAACCCATACTTTCAAATATAGAGTCTCTAGGATTGTGGCAAGTCTTTGTTTATTACATGTTAAAAAATGATCTAATTGAAAACAAGTGACTGGACTTTAGGATGAGTTATATACATGTAGTAGTTTTGTATAATTTTTTCAACACTGATTAACCACTAAAATATCTGATGGTTTCTCAATCAAATCATAGCCTCCAT